GTAAGTTCCTAGCAACTACAAGAGGGAAAGCTGATTTAAAAGAAAACAGATAGTTTAAAGACCCTTTTGTTTATTTTTTAAAGATTTATTTATTCATACAAGAGCTGGGGTACAGGCCAGAGATGTGGGGGGTGAGGATGTACCAGAGACAGAGCGGGGAACAGAACAGACAGACTGACCGAAACAAAATTCTGAGGGGAGGAGTGGGTGAGGCAGGAGAGGTCTGCTTCGCCATGTGGGTTGCTCCCTGGCGGGCCGGGATCAAACTTGTGCTGCAGAGGCTGCAGATTGCTTCATAGTGCGGTGCTTAACCCCTTGCACCACCAGGGAGGCCCCTAAAGGCCCTTTCAAAAGAAAAAAATGTAATAGTCTCTAAGTGATGTGGAGGTTCACTGGAGCAGAGTGCCTGGCTGGGAGCTTTCCTACAAGCTGGGGCTGTGGAACAGGGGAGATGTTGCCCCCCACCCCACCCCAAGGGCGGGCTGGGGCACTGCTCTGGAGGCTTGCGGTTGGGGCTCAGCGCGCCTGTCTGAGTGCAGCACTGTGCAGCTACAGCTGAGGACCTTCTTGAGAATGCAGCTCCTCGTTTCCAAAGGAATTGTCAGCTTTCACCTCCCCATTAGATGGAAGCTGTGAGACCCCAGCCCCCTGCCATGGCACTGGGGACCTTGATAAGGTCCCCATTTCACCCCTCCCACCTGTTCCCTGGCCTCCCAAGGTGGCCGAATTCCAGGGTGGCTAGGTCACCACCCCTGCAGGACGCTCCCCACCGTGGGTACCTGGCCTGCTTGGGTGTGGGCAGCCTGGCCAGCTTGTCATTACTCCCTGTCCTGGTTTGATGCTGTCTGGAGGGCCCCTCCGTGTCCCTGGCCAGTATTTAATGAGTGTTGAAGCTAGTGCCACCTGCCAGTCTCACTCATACAATTTCCTTGTTGTGGCCAGAAACAAACACCCTTATTAAAATGACCAACTTCCCAAGGAGGACACGCGCTGTTCTCTGGACACGCTTCTAAGTCGGCGTAAAGCTCTTTATGGGCGGCACCTACCCTGGAGTCCGCCTGGAGTCTCCCGTCCCTGAACGTCTTTGGGCCAGTTCTCCTGGGACTTTTAAAGGAAACATTGTAAAGTTGTATTTTACAGGCTGAAGCTTTTTTAAAAAATCAAATACAAATAATTGTCAAAGTGCCTTTTAAAAAACTTAATTGTGCTAAAATACATACAGCATGAAATTGGTCATCGTAATCGTGTTTCACTGTATTCCTTCTCGAGTACCTCATCCAGCCTTTGGGAGTTTGAATTAAATCACACAGAATTCTGGGGGCAGACTGTCAGGTTGTTGGCTCTCCAAGGAAAGCAAAGGGAAGCACCGGCCTTTTCCTGGATGGAGCGAAGTGAGTTATACTTCTTGGTCTTTGTTTAGAAACTTGGGTGTGGTTCATTCCCCTCCCCCTTTTTTTTCAAACTGTATTTTTTAATTTTTTTTTTTTACTTTAAGATCAACCTGCTACCTATGAATACAGTAAGGTTAAAACATTTGTAATTATACTTTTATTGCAATTCAAGGAATGCTTTTAAGTGGTGTGGGGCCAGGACGAAATCCATCAGGAAGTTTCATTTCTAGTTGCATCACAGTTTTTCTGTTTAGCACTTTCAAAAGTGATTTTGAAAACATGGCCATATTTTCCTTCCTAATGCTTCTGTTTCCTATTTATTCTGTAGTTGTAGAAGAATATCCTCATTTCTCTTTTTTTGCCCCCATACATTCTTTTTATCTAGTGTTTTTTTTTTAAATTTTATTTATACGAGAGCCGGGTACAGGCCAGATGCATGGGAGGGTGAGAGGATTCACCAGAGACAGAGCGGGGAACAGAACAGGCAGACTGACGAAATGCACTGCTGAGGGGAGCAGCAGACGAGACAGGAGAGGTCTGCTGTGCCATGTGGGATTCTCACCGGCCGGCCGAGATCGAACCAACGCTGCAGAGGCTGCGGACAGCTTCACAGCACGGCGCTCAACCACCTGCGCCACCAGGGAGGCCCTAGTTAGTGTTTATTTATTTATTTTTTTTTATTTTTTTTTTTTTAATTTTCTAGAGGCATGTCTTATTTATTTTATTTATTATTTGTTTGTTTGTTTGGTTTATACATGCACTGGGTACAGTCAGAAGCGCAGGAGGGTGAGAGAATTCACCAGAGCCAGAGCGGGGAGCAGAGCAGGCAGAAGGACCGAAGGACACTGCTGAGGGGAGCAGCGGGCGGCAGGAGAGGTCTGCGCGCCATGTGGGACCCTCCTCCGGTGGCCAGGGAGCAGCCGGGGATCGAACCGGCTGCAGAGGCTGCAGGCAGCTTCGCAACCCAGCGCTCAACCGCTGCGCCACCGGGGAGGCCCTCGTTAGTGTTTAAACTACAGTATATGTTAACCTTACTGGCCAGTTATTTTGAGTTTCTGATTTCCTAAAAATCACAAGTAAATGAAACTGCCTGGGAATGCCCAGTGAGCTTTCCTCTATGGAGCAGGGCCTTCCCTAAACAAAACACCTGCATCGAGCCTGGGAAGAGCCGTGAGGAAGAAACTGCTGGGCCATGCCAGCTGAGAATGAGAGAAGATTCCAGAGAAAGGCAGGCGCTTCCCTGCGGCTCCTTTTCAGCTTTAAGAAGAAAATACCAGCAAGGACAGTCGAGAGCAGGAATCGGAGTGTCTGCTTAAGGCTCAGCCTCATGAGCTGGGGCTTCCCTCTTGGCACCGAAATGCTTTATTTTGTCCAAATTTTCAGCAGGCTTGTAGGTCGTAATGTCAGTCTCGTGCCTGCTGGTAGCTGCGGCGCAGTGTTGGGCAAATGTGGAGACGTTGGCAAACAATGAGACAGAGACCGGCAGAACCAGGAAGCAGTTTCCTGACTCACTGGGCCAGAAAGCACACGCAGGGGCACACGTGAACATGCGTGTGCTGAGGGGCGTGGGAGGCTTCACTCTGCAGGCGGACTCCTTCAGGGGAGTTGTTTTGCAGTTAGGGGCGAAAGTCTTCCCCTCAGGCGAGGTCCCTGCATCCCTGGGTCTCCTCAGGGCTATCCAGAAAGTGAGTCCTGTTACCGCTGGTGCAGGAGGCATTTTCAGTTCCTACCAACAAGCGAATGTCAACTTCCCGGTTCTTGCGGCTTAGCCAGCTGGAGCGTTGCATGAAACACGGCATTTGTTTCTTTATTCTGAGCCGTAGGATATGCATAACATAAAATGAGCCACTTCATTATTTTGAAGTGCACAGCTCAGTGGCGATCACGGGTTCACGCCGTTTGCAGGCCTCACTGTCCGTCTCCAGAACTGCTTTGTCTTCCCAAACGGAAACTCGCACTTCCCCTTCCCAGCCCCTGTAGCCGCCGTACTGCATTCTGTCTGGACTATTTTAATTTTTTTTTAGTTTTTGGGAAACAGAAGAGGGATTTATTGAAACACGCCGCTGAGAGGGGCAGGGGCGCGACGGAGCGGTCTCTGCCCTGGGAGAGGGTCTCAGTGACTGGTGGGATATCTGCCTTCGGTGTGTCCTGACTCAGGATCTGGATCATTGGTTCCCATGGCAACCCTACCACTTCCCTTCATCCGTTCAGCCTCCCAAACTTGCCTGCTGGGCAAGGCAGGGAGTGGGGCTTAGTTTTCAACCTCAGTGAGGATACCACAGCATTTTCCCCTCTCCTGAGAGGACAGCGACAAATACTTGATTGCTGGCTGCAGAGGGGAGGAAAGTGAAACCTCCTGCCACCCCTGGGTATCCGGGACTGCCCAGATCACAGGGACCTTTCAGGGACACTTGGGGGTACCCAAACCTGACCCCTAATGTGTCATCCGCGAGCTAAACAACCCACCGAGGATTACGAAGGAAGGAAAAGGCCATTCTCCACATGATCAGGCCATGGCATCCCTGAACCTTGCAGTCGTGCTGGGGTGTACCCCAACCAGACGCCTTCTAAAATGGACTATTTCAGAAGCCTCATAGAAGTAGAGTCGTGCAGTATTTGTCCTCCTGTGTCAGGATGACCTTCCTTTTTTTTTTTTTTTAAGATTTATTTATGCATACAAGAACTGGGGTACAGGCCAGAGGTGTGGACGGTGAGAGGATTCACCAGAGACAGAGCGGAGAAGAGCACAGGCAGATAGACCGAAACACACTGCTGAGGGGAGCAGTGGGCGAGTCAGGAGAGGTCTGCTGCGCCATGTGGGTTGCTCCCTGGCCAGGGATTGAACTTGTGCTGCAATGGCTGTGGATTGCTTCATAGGTTGCATCTTAACCCCTTGCGCCACTAGAGAGGCCCGGATGACCTTCCTTTTTAAGGCTGAATAGTCCTCCATCCATTAATCTACCACATTTGCTTTATCTGCTCACCCATCCGTGGTCACATGGGTTGCCTCCCGCTTCTGGCTGTTGTACATTGTAGCAGCATGGGGTGCAAGTCTCTGAGTCTCTGCCTTCAATTTTTTTGGGTGTGTACCCAAAAGTGGAATGCCAGATCAGATGGGAAATTGGTAAACTAAGCAAACGTTTAATTTTTAAAATTTGTATTATTTTTTGAGGTAACATTGGTTTTCCACACTGTATGTGATTTAGGGGTGTGCATTCACCCCACCTCCCACCACCAAAGCCCCAGCAGTTCACCACAGCACCCCCTCCCCAGTTTGCACCCAAACCCCCACCCTCTGGCAGCATCAGTCCTGCAGTCAGATTTCGAGGGCTAGTTTGGGTTGGTTCTGTCTGGTCCTGTACTTTGTGTTCCACAGAGGAATGAAATCTTCCTGTATTTCTTTCTCCTTCCGACTTAACATGTTTGCACTTCTGAGGCACCACCTTTGGGTTTGCAGGGCCCATGGGCTCCCCCTCACTTCCCCACCGGGGCATAGCACTGGCGCAGCCTCTGCTGGGCAGCTCTCTGGGATGTTCTCTTTCTAGAAGCAGAGGCAGCTCTGGGCGCATGCTTGACCACCTCCTCAGGCACTTTTTCTCCTCCTTCCAGGCACTCCAGAGCAACCTGAAGTACTCCTTGTTGCCAAGCCGGTTCATCATCAGCAAGCGGCTGGCCCAGTGCCTGCATCCGGCACTGCCCAGTGGGGTGCACCTGAAGGCCCTCGAGACCTATGAGATCATCTTCAAAATTGTGGGCACCAAATGGCTGGCCAAGGATTTGTTCCTCTACAGGTACCGTAGCTGCCCCCACCCCATGTGCCCAAGGAAACTGTGTTTCAGTTCACAAGATGAGAAAATAACAAACAAGCAAAAGTAGGGTATCCCTCACGAGAATGCCCTGCCAGCAGGTAACCAGGCCCACCTTCACAGCATGTGCTCCCACACGTCTCCCAAGTATGTACCCCCTTTCTCTCACTCCCCCCCCTTTTGTTTATTTTTTTAAAGATTTTTCATTATGCATACAAGAACTGGGGTGCAGACCAGAGGTGGGGGGGCAGGAGAGGATTCACCAGAGACAGAGTGGGGAGCAGAATAGGCGGATCTACTGAAATACACTGCTGAGGGGAGCAGCGGGGAGACAGGAGTGGTCTGCTGCGCCACATGGGTAGCTCCCTGGCCAGAGACAGAACTCAGGCCACAGTGGCTGCCAATGGCTTGATAGAGCTGAGACTTTAACCCCTGTGCCACCAGGGAGCCCCCCCCTTTTACCCCCAAAGCTTGCCCCATTTATGTGTCTGCTAGTCTGTGACCATTCTGCTTTGGTGATTCGTGCTCTGCGAGTCCTTGTTTTACTCGCATGCACGTATGACAACGTCCAGTGTCCAGTCTTTGTCCTTCCGACTTGCTTTGCTGCGCGTCACTTCCGTGAGCCCTCCCGTGCCGCTGTCAGGAGCGGCCGTCCATCTTCCCTTACGGCCGAGTGGTGCTCGTGGTGCGGAGAGACCCAGCTCTGTCCCTGTTCTCCATCACTGATTAGGTTGCTTCCAGAGCCTGTGGTTGCAAGTAATGCTGCAGCAAACACTGGGGTGTGTAATTGTTGTAGTTGACATGCGTTTTGGGCAGGAGTGTGATGTCCCTGCTGCCTCCACTCCTGGCTCAGCAGCACCTGTGTCCAGCTCACACGCACCTCTGCTCCCCAGCTTAAGTCGCCGGCTGCCCTCAGAAGCTCTGGCCACCTGTGCTGCTGATGAGGCGCCTTGTTTATGCTCCTCTCCCCTTTTCTCTTCCCTGAAGCTGCGGGTTGTTCCCTCTCCTGGCGAATGCAGCCATGTCAGTGAGGCCCGCGCTGCTCAGCCTGTACGAGACGTACTTCCTCCCGCTGAAGAAGCTGCTGCTGCCCAGCCTGCAGGCCTTCATCATGGGGCTGCTGCCTGGCCTGGAGGAGGGCTCCGAGATCTATGACAAGTGGGTGCTGAGGGGTCCAGGGTGGGGCCGGTACTGCAAGGTCTGTGACAGTGGGTGCTGATGGAAGGGGCTGGCTCCGACATCTATGACAAGTGGGTGCTGATGTGCTGGGGGGGACAGATGCCAAGTCGGAGCCTCTTCTCCGTGTCTGGCGTGGGCTCTGCCTGACGCAGCCCTGTGTTCTCCTGGGAGTTGCGTCCTTCACAGGTGAGCGGTGAGGCAGGAAGTTTCCCAGAGTCACAGCGTCCGTGGGCAGCGGAGCTGGGTTCTGAGCCCAGGCCCGAGATTCTGAAGTCCTTCTTCCTCCTCTACTGGCTGCTTCCCGATAAAAAAGCCAAGCCGGGTGCACTGGCAGCTGAGGCCCGAGAAGGGGACGCTAAGCGGAATGCCCTGATGAATCTCAGCAGCCCCTTGGAGGAGTTGGTAAAGCACACGTGCTTCAAAGTTCATGCGGTTTGGGGGTCACTGTTTAGGGCCGGGATGCGGCAGGTCCTTTCAGACCCTGAGTATATAAGGTGTGCTGTGAGCAGAGCTGCCCGTACAGAAGTCATCTGTTGGCAGCTTCCCCAGCAGGGTCTGCTCGGGGCATGTCACCTGTGAGGTGTGTTTGGACACAGCCGTGGCCGGGTGGCACAAGAATTTCTGTCATTGTAACCGTGTTAGTTTGAGAGAATTCAGAAATTTTTTCTTCCCCAGAAATCAGGAATTGAGTCAGACACCCCTAGCAAATACTGTAGAGCCAAGAAAGGGGGAGAGGAGTGGGGGGTGTCAGTGATTCCACGGTGGAGAAAATGCAAAGGGTGGGTTCGCTTGGGCTGACAAAGGTGGGTGACTCACCCATTTCTCGCGGGCAGAGACTGCTCTGGCTTGTGCTTGCTGGGGAACCTTTAGGGGTGGAATGGGGACTGGTGTTGGGAGTGCTGTCCCCCCTGACTTCCTGACCCTTTGGTGCCTGTGAGGGCTCCTGGCCAGAGGGCCTTCATAGGTGCAGTCCCAAGAAAACCACCCCCAGGCACCCCCCCACCCCCCAACCCCTCACCCCCTTCACCCCCCCGCCCCCCCCCCCCCCCGTGGAGATGGAGCCCCAGCTGGCTCACTGGAGATTTTCATCTTATCAGAGGTTCTCAGCAGGGGGTGAATTTTGCCCCACCTAGGGATATTTTTGGTTGTCACGCAGGCATGGAGAGGGTGCCATTGGCATCTGGGTGGGAGGGAGCCAGGGCCCGCAAAACCAAGCCCTGTCCAGCCCAAACTTCAAACCGTGAAGGCTGAGAAGCCCTGGTTTAAAGAGTGGTCGTAAAACATCCCTGACATTTCTTTGGGCTGATTGTGGCACCATGATGATAGGCTCTGCTGTTCTAGAATGTTCCCCCTTGGGGGCGTCTGGCCAGTGCTGTGCTGGGCACTGCCCTCAGGGCGCCGCTCATCCGAGGGGCACACTCACAGCTCAGCCCTCCCTGTCTGTGGAAGCATGGGGTCCCCACCTGTGATACTCCCTGCTGCTGGGGAGCAGAGGACAGTGTCCCTGTGGCCCCTGGAGGCACAGGAGAGCGGGAGCCAGGGTGAGGGCCATCGATTTTGGTTGGAATGTTCTAATGTGCCAGACTCATACCGGGAAGTGAGCGGGAGATGACTCAGGCTATTGGAGCGGGCCGGGGCAGCCCTGTGGAAAGTGGGGTCCTCGGGAAACTGCTGCGGAGCATGCTGTGGCCCCCACCCCTCTCCTGGGCCTCTGGCCGGAGCACGTGAAGTCACCTACTCTAGGAGTCAAAGGACCCGGTGCCCAGGGCAGCGCTGTCGCCCGGGCTGCTCGCTGGAAGGAAGGAGCCGGTTTGCCATTTTCCCAAAATGGAAGCAACTGGAGAGAATTATGTGAAGCAAAGTTAGAAAGACAAAGACACAGATTGGGTGACTTCCTGGATTAGTACAAGATGAGGAAACTCACAAAACAAACTACAGGATATTGAAAAATCAATGACGTGAAGTCCCCAGAGGCGAAGAAGGTGGGGCCAGGAGCAGTGTAGAGGGAGCAGCGTGGTGGTGGGAGGGGGGTGTGTGTGTTTTGTTTGAGATATTTAAAAATCCGGGGGTGCAGTGGGGCTCATGGGATGGTTTTGTCACACGCTGACCACGAGCTGACTTATCTCGGTTGCCGGGCGCCGTCCCCCATGCAGAGGCTTTCCCGGGAGACCCACGACCTGCACTCTGTCTCCCTCTCGTCTGCTCTCATTGCTGAGCGCTGGCCGCTGGCCCCAGAGGTTGGGCCGTCCTGGGGGCATGGGCTGACCCCGGGAGCCTGCAGGCTGCTGTGACCGGGCTGGCCATTCTGGGATTGTTTCCTGTCTTTGCAAACTGGAAAGGTGAGAAACGCTGTGGTTTCAAGTTCTGAGTCAGCAAACCTGCTCCGTGAGCGGCATTTGCGTCCAGTGACAGACACTGTCACCCACCTGCCCGAGGGCTGTGCCCCCACTCTGGGCCGTGAAGGTGCCCGTCAGTTTCGGCTGCAGGATCCCAGGAAGAGCAGGGCAGGGCCGGTCTGTCAGCATCTGTGAAGACCCAGCCCAGGCCTCTGAAGGTGCTGCTGCTGTCAGGGGGCCTGCATGAAACTGCTGAGGCTGCATCCCCGGAGACCAGGACAGAGATAAGGGCATCAGCATCACTGCCCCCGGAGCAGGAGGCAGCGGATGGGGGTGCTGCGGGCAGAGTGAAAGGCAACCCCGCTGCAGGCGCTGGGCGTTGCAATGGACGGGAGGCCCAGGCTGATGGTGGCCCGGTGCTTCTGAAGTCCCTTTCACTTGGCACTCCTGGGCTGGGCCCAGGTAGGAGGCGTCTTTGTCATTGCTGAGTCTTCCATCACTCACCTACGTGACTCCCCACAGCTCTGCGCTGGCAGTGGACCCCTGGAGTCCCTCAGGGACCATGGGAAGCAGAAATGGCTCTCTGCCCAGTGACACAGCCAGTGAGGTGCTCCTGTTGGTGCTTTCTTTCAATGATATGTATGTTCTAGCAAATTCCATTTCAGTGACAACTGGCAAGTAACACAGGAGGGCAGGAGGTGGCAGCTGCTAGTGTTTGCATGGGGAGTTGGGGGCCGCTCACAGAGCGCCAGGCAGTAGGATGCTGACCCCTGGTCTTCATTTCTGCGCTCTCGCCCACAGGACAGACAGGTTGCTCCTGAGGCTGTCCCAGGTGGTGGGCGAGGAGGTCTTCTATGCGGCCCTCTGGGGGAGTGTGCTGGTGAGCCCGGCCGTGCGCCTCCCTGCCTCGCTCTTCGTGGTGAGCCACATCCGCAGGGATTTGCCCGGCAAGAAGCAGAAGTACATGCTTGGGACAGACCCCCAGCTCACGGTAGGTGCCCAGGGATGCGCTGTCGCCCACCCGTGCCAAGACCAGAAAGTGCATGACTCCCAGCCGCTGAGCAGTAGGCGGCAGGTTGCCCTGCGGGCTGCCTCTGGGTGGTGCTGCCTGTCTGTCTGTCAGTCGCACTTGCACTAGGATTTATACACTCATGCGTGTGGCACACACATACGGAGGGCCCTCCTGGAGGCTGCACTGCTCAGCAGCAGAGCCGCTAGCTATGAGGCTCCCCCGGCCCCCAGTGTGAGGTGTGGCCCAGCTCTGTTCTCATTCCCTGTCCTGGCACACCACCCCCTTGTTTTCAGATTACATCATCCTATTGTGTGGTATGTACAGGGGCACGGGTTCACCCCTCTTCAGACATAGGTCACCACACCCACTGTCTGCCCGAGCACCACAGTCCAGGGGGGGTCCCATTTGCTGCCCACCCTCGGCCACCCCTCTGGTGGCCTCAGTTCTGCAGCGAGTTTCCAACGGTGTGTCTGGTTTGGTTTTTATCTCTTCCTGCGCCTTGTTTCTCTGCATTCCACATGTGAACGAAACCATCTGGCATTTGTCTTTCTCTTTCTGATCTGCCTCGCTCAACCTCATCCCCCCTGGTTCTGTCCACTTGGTCGCAAAGAGCAAGATTTCATTTGCTGGATTTTTTTACAGCCAGCAGCCCTTGCTTCTGCTGCCAGCCTCCCATCTGGCTGCCCTCCACCTCCAATTTTCGGGGCTTCTCAGGTGTCTGTCCCGTTCAGGGGATGCTCTGGCAGCAACATCCCTCCCCCCAGACCCCAGGACTCCCTCCCCATAGCTGACTCTCCTCGCCAAGCTCACCTCTGGCCTGTTGAGTGGCCTGCTGACACCGCCACCTGGTGGCGCCTGCTCTTGGAACTCTGTTCAAAATTCATTCATCAGGAAGAAAGTCAGGGGCTTGGGGTGACCTCCCTCCCTCTGTGCCCCTAACTCTTGCAGGGCAGGGATAATAGATCTGCCTCACAGTCCCTCGGAGGATTAACAAAGAGATGGAAGCACTCCACGCAAAGCTTAGGATGTAGGAGACCATCATGAATACCTTTCCATAAATACCTTTGGTGCTTTTGTCTCTTTCTCGCCATTTGCATTGCCCTGCTTCAGCTACTTGCGTCTTGCTGTGGGAACTGCAACATGATCTGCCTAGTTTCTCCCCACCCCATCTTCTGCCCGTTCCATCTCAAGTCTGAGTGGCTGGCTTTTCCAAGCGTGGTTTGCTCATGTCTACACTGCTGGACAAGTATCTGGCTTCACGTTGCCCACAGATAAAGTTCCAACACAACAGTGTTCTGGCAGTCTGCTCCCAACCCACCTGACACCTCCCTGTCCCCTGCAGACCGTCCACTCTCCTGCAGAGTGGCTGCCCCCCAGCCCCGTCCCCAACGCCACATCCCTGCTCCAACCGGCCCTCCTTGCCACCTGTCCCTTCAGCTCCATGGGTCTCAGAGTGACTCTCCTGTCCTTCAAGATCAGCTCTCCCCCAAAGCTTCATGGCTTTGAAAGATCACTCCCACCCTCCTCTGAATCCTCAATTCTTTTTATTAGCATTTGTCTCATAGTGAGTATCAACAGTGGCATTTACCTGTGTTACAGAGAAATGACACTCGGGAGGTGCGTTGCATTGGACTGAATGTCTTGGAAGCTTTAGTTTAGCAGAAAGCTCCTATGGAAACCTAAAGACATTCCTTCCTGGGATCATAGAACCTGAGGTCTTTGAACTGGACTGTCTTATCCAGATCCCTCCAGCTGTCAGATGCTGCCAGGGAGGCTGCAGGTCACATGATCCGTAGAGTGTAGAGCTGGGCCCGCATCTACACCACACTGTCCTGTTCTGCATGATTTAACAACTGGGTGTCAAGATTCCCAGGAAGTGTCATTTCATTTATGATGATGATAAAGCCTGCGAATAATTAAATGTTCCGGGAATAAAGTGCTTGTGCATTTTATTGTTAAAGGTCAAGTCCTTATGTGCGTCGCTGTTGGACTCGAATGTTCTGGTGCAAAGAAACAATCTGGAAATTGTCCTGTTCTTCTTCCCATTTTACACCTGTCTGGTGAGTCAGCCATGTCCTTCTTGGGAGACCCCTGGCGTTTCCCCAGGAGGTGGGGAAGGGGCTGGACCTCAGCCTGTGTTTCAAGAACAGTTGCTCTGTGGCCCCTTTCTATTTCGGCCAATTACAGGTCCTTGTTATTGTTGGTGAGGATGGGGTTTCCATCGCAAAGCCCAAACAGCTGCTTCCACAGGCAGCATGGAAGGACCAGTCCTTTTTGAGAACTGCCTTTTTAAGAGAAAGCTTCCTGGTCTGGGGAGGGAGGCTGGTCATCTGCTCTGTCATCTCACAGTGATGCTTTCTCTGCCGTCCTCAGGATGCAGAGGAGAGCGCCATCCCCCTGCCGCGGCCCCACATCGTGTGTCTTCTCGCAGCTGCCACCCAGACCCTACTGCGGAGGGACATGTCTCTCAACAGGCGGCTTTACGCCTGGCTGCTAGGTACCACGGCCGCTCCCGCTCACCTGCAAATCAGTTAGTCGGGGGCGGGGGGGGGGCCTCCGTCTGCTGATGCTGGTCTGAGTCTTAAGTGAGGAAAGACCACAGGCCGACCAAATGGGCTGGTCAGCTGAGAGCCATTCCCGGCACCATGCTAGGGCTGTGTGGCAGCAATTCCAGAAAGAGAACAGGGGCATGAAAGGATTTTTAAGATACTAACCAAGTTGCAGCTTAACAGAATTACAATACCATAACAGGTGTGGCTGAGCTATATTCAAGTATACAGGAGGCTATTGCTGTGGAGACATCTCGCGGGGTGAGGGTATAGGGGAGAAGATCACAAATGTGGGACACGTGTAAGAGGCCTGCTATGGTTGGGAGCTTGGTGGCTTGGCTCAAGTGCACTCCAAGATCCTGGGGATTTTGCAGGACCCTTCCTTCACCTGCAAAGAAATTCCAGCTTGCTGCAGTTTCAGATGATGGTTCCTTTTTCAGCAATTAAATGTTCTTTTAGTGAAGATCTATACATGTTTTTTAAGACACCAGTCTGTGGCCCACTTAATAGACTGCTGTGTAGTAGTTGAAACAACCTTTGTACATACTGGGAAACCAAGAGACTCGTGACTCACTTGATCACGGTGTCTGGAACAGGACCCACAGGGTCTCCAAGGTGCCTGTATTTGGGTAATTTTGGGAGAGTGTGAGAATCCCGGGCTGTGTGTGTGAGTGCTGTTCTGGGAACAGCTGGCAGGACAAGAGGCCAGGGACAGGGCTCCAGGAAGTCACAGGGCTTCAGGCCACTCCTGGATTTTATAAATTCCCATGTTCATGCATTAAGAACGGCTGTACACAACGTGCTTGTGGGAAGACTTGCCAGCTGGTTTTTTCAAGAATTTCAGAGCAGTTTTAGGTTCAGAGCAAAATTAAGAGGCAGATACAGAGATTTCCCACCTGCCAGCTGTCCCGCCCATGCACAGCCACCTCCATCATTGCCACCCACGTCACAGTTGGTGGGCCCTCACCGACACAGCATCCCCCACAACCCACGGTTTATGCTGGGGTCCCCTCGTGGCAGTGTCCATTCCTTGGGTTTGGGCACATGGGTCACCACCTGCATCCTCTATTAAAGCATCACACGGAGTAGCTTCTCCACCCCGGAAGTCCTGTTTCACAGCTTTTTCAAAGTCCTCAACGTCCTGATCTTATCCCACCAGCGTCAGGAAGTGCTCCCAACCTGCTCTTCCCTTTCCCGCTGGCTATGAAACGTAGGTCATGGCGTGCAAGCCGATGGAGGACTTTGACAACATTTGCAGGCTCTTTAAGCATTTTTGTCAAAAGGATGATTTTGCTAGGGGCATAGCTCCTCTTAGTGGGGCCTTCCATGACTGCGTGGGGTGATAGGGACCGTGGTCAGCAGGGGCCCGGGCTCCTCCCTTGCACCCGAAGACGTCCCCGCCTGGAGGACCTCTAGGGCCCCTTTGCAGGGCGGCCACTAGCTGCGAACACTTGGCTTCACATTGTGCCGGACATACACACCCTGTTTTTTTCCAACTGATCCTCATTCCATTAGATCTTTGTGATCATGCTTGTCAAAGACAACTAGGGTGAATTCTTGGGAGAGACTAAATCGATGCCCTTTGTGATGAGTGGAATCCTGCCTGTCTGGTCCTCAGCTCTGTCTGAAGAAAAACAACTCGGTCTTGCCAGGTCTGATTCTGTTTTCTGTTGGAGGAATAATATTTTTTAAAAAATCAGCACCTGAAACCTTTGCACACCATGATGTGCTTTTAAATCTCTGGTCTCTTTACGGCTCACAGTGTCTGTTCTTTTGTAGGTTCCGACATTAAGGGAAACACAATTGTGCCGGAATCCGAAATCACAGATTCTTATGAAGACCAGTCCTTGTATTTTTTTGAAAAATATTCCAAGGATCTTCTAGTTGAGGTAAAGCCGTCTTTCTGGGAAGTCGACCCCAAGCAGGGCGATTCTTCAGTGGACTCCTTTGCGAGACCCCCAGTTGGCTTGGGATGTGCTCTTGGGAACACACGTTCTTGTTTTGTGCTGCGTCACCACTTATGTCTTTCTCCGGGAACCTCACGGCCGGACGGCGGTGTTGTCATGCACACCAGGTGCCCTTCCTAATGCGGGGCTGTTTTTCCAGGGCTTGGCTGAGCTGCTGCACCAGGAGTTCCCGCAGACCGATAGGGATGAGCGCCTTCATGCCTACCTGAGGCCCTTCCGCATCCTCATCAGCCTGCTTGACAAGCCGGAAATAGGTACCCCAAACCCCTTCTCATCGAGGGTCCAGGACGGGTCACCCGTTTTCCAGCAATTAAAATGTGTTGCTTCGAGTATGATTTAACCCTGGGAATGTCTGGACCTCCACATACTCCCATCATGTTATGCTATTCTCCCTGGGCGCCCCATGAAGTTCCCCATGATAAGGCTGCCTTTTTGCCAGGAAGGTCTGCCCAGCCCCTGTGCACCATGGCCTGGCTGCCCTTGGGAGAACGCTTCCCCTGTCAGAGGTCACTGTTGGAACCAGCCATCTCCAGGGGACCTGTTGCGAACCAGCCGCAGCAGTCTGGGTGCCAGGGGTTCCTGAAGGATGGGAAGGCATCGGTGCAATTGTAGAGAAAATGGTAAGGGAGGGGGAAGGGGAATGAGGAGACGCAGACACTTGATCAGGGTGCTGACATCATCCTGCTGAGGGTCTCAGCAGCCCTTTATTTATACTAAGCAAATCGTGAGTACACAAGTATAAGGTAGGAAGGTAATAATCATCACATGTCCTTTTTTAGGAGCAGCCAAGGGTCTGTTTGCCTTCCAACAGAGGTCGTAACATTTATTATTCTTTGTCTTAAAGAAGGCACAGTTGCTAAACAAATGTTTTCAAAGTAGTTATTTACAATCCAACAGTTATTGCATTACTAGCAAAAAAGCCTATGTGTCTGTAACTAACATTTCTAAGTTTGCCATGGTGAACAATTAACTAAGGGCTGAGGGAAACAAAGGGCAGGAAGTTACCTGGGGGAAGGGAGACAAAGAGATTATTTCTAACTAACCTATAAAGTTTAGACCAACATATAACTAATTGATTAAAGTAAAAAACAGAAGGCTTTTATATAGAAATCATCATCTATAGTATATTATTTTAATATTGATTTGATATTAAGGAACCAAGGGCCTGGAGGGCGTTCATGCCAGGCAAGCCGCACTGACTCTTCCCTGGCCCCCAACTCTCAATGAAGGGAGGAAGTCTCCTAATCTACACAGAGTTCTCCACCTATCACTCCTCTACTTTATCTAGTCAGCCTAGTTTCCGTATTTAACTATAAGATCAAGGGGCAATTTCCTCTTCCATAAGGTTGCTGGTTGTTGTTCTAAAGAACTACAAATATTTTATCAGAGGCAGGAGCAGAGATGGTTATAGCCTTTGATTCTCAAAAATGGTCAAGATGTGACATATCAGTAGTTGTAACATTGACCATTTCCGAGTGCGTTATTTGTGCTGTCGTGATTACTACCTCAACCAGTCACAAGTTGCTGTTGACTTAGTCTTGAATGCACACTCTAACAGCTACCATACCAATTGTCACATCCAAGGGAATTAGCCCTAAACAAACAGGAAGAATTTAGCAGGAGTCAACTATGGCGTCTCCTGTTTATCAGGAATCTTCTTATACTTGGAGCATGGCTCGCCTCTGCCACCCAACTGTTATCTTTAACTTTAAAGTAAAGGAATTTCTTTCTCCAATTAGCTCTTGCTCAAGAGACCACATCTCTATATCAAAGACTTGGCCGATAGATGTTTACAACCTTTTGTTTCCAGAAGTTTTTTTCACTGGTTAATGTAAGGCCAAATGTTGAATTGCTGCCCCTTTGGCAGAGAACTACTAATTTTATGAAAAATGTAATATTTGTATCATGCAGTGCCATTTGTCATCAAATTGGTCATTCAGTGATTGACCAGTATCTGCAGTTTTACTTTTAAATGCGTATTTTAGCAATGGTAGAAACTAGCCATAAACAAATGAGGAGAATCTTGGAGTCAGCTAACGAGATTCCTGATTTTTCACAAATCTGCCCCATGTCCGGACTTTTGTCAGACGACATGAGTAGCGCGGCTCCCCATAGGGACCCACCTCCATCTTGTTCCCTGAGGCTCTGGGAAGCAGCTCCTGCATTTGGGGCTCCGTCTTTTCCTGTCAGATGGGAGGGGGTGACCCAGAGTCTGTTCTTGGAGGGTCCCCCGCTGGGTGCATTAGTGGAGAAAAGCAGCCTTTCTTCCCTCACTCAGAAATAAAGCTGGCTATGGTGTCATTCACCCCAGGACCTCAATAGCCAGTCAGTTGAAGACAGTGATGGGGAGGAGAACCCCCATCTTAAGCCTGAGCTGCTCACCAAGTGCCGGGTCTGCCAGCTGCCCGGTTGCTGTTGGCTGAGCAGGGGGTCAAGGTAACACCCCTCTTGCTCTGGCCTTGGGCTGGAGACCTGTCAATTATTCATTCAGAGACAGTTCTGGAGCACCTGGGGCTGGGCTCTTGGGGTGCATGGAAGAAAAGGCTCCAGTCAAGTGAGGCGGGAGGGAGACTCTGGCCTGTTGTTAGCAAATTCTCCAGCATTTTTTGAGCAGTTACTCTGCAGTGATGTGCAGCCCTCATGTAATGTAGGTCTCCGTGCTCCATGCCTCCGCACCCCAAGGTGGGGCCTCACTGTGCCCACCTTACGGATGGGAGATGAGGACAAACAGGCTAAGTATCTTGCCAGAAGTCACAAGGAGCTGGGAGTAAAATTAGGTTCTTCTGACACTGAGCCTCCCTGGGTTCCGTTGCCTGGACCCTGTCGCTGACCTGATGCCCCCTGGGCGAGTCACCCCAAGGTGCTGTCAGGTGTGTCAGGGAGAGCGGGCTCATCCTCCTTAACGTTTGCTGCTCCCGAGACTCCCAGCCAAAGCCAGAGCTGGGAGCATCTGTCCCTCCGGTGCTCTCCAAGGGGCCCTGTGCCCTGGGCAGGCCCTGGCCACCTCACCGTCCACCCCATTCAGCGGCCAGGTCTCCCCTAGAGTGGACTGGCTGCCCATCACCAGGCGGGAGCCGGTGCCTGGCCACATGGCTGCTGCAGGACTCAGAGGGTTGTGAACACGCAGCGGTAGGACCGCGTCCAGCACAGTATCTGCTCTGCGGCAGCGGGGTTCTCTTATGGCTCTGCTCCCCAGCAAAGGGGCCGCTGTCTCGCCAAGCAAAGTGTCTGCACTCAGGTCTATTGTCCGCGCAGACAGCCCCTCCCTGCACCCCGCGTGATCATCGTCCATGGACTAGAAGCATTGCTGGCCTGTCCTCTGACCACCTCTGTTTTGTTGCAGGGCCTCAAGTGGTTGAGATCTTGTTTCTTGAGGTCATCCGGGCCTTCTATTCCTACTGCAGCGACGCTCTCGGCTCTGACCTGAAACTGAGCTACACTCAGGGTGGAAATTTGCTGATAAGGTCTGGACTCCAGCTTCATGTTCCTCCCTCCCTCATGCTGTGCCCCCCCCACCCCATTTAGTATTAATTGTGCTGGGGGAGGTGGAGACGCAGCAGGTTAATAAGATAACTGAGGTCACCTGTGTGCTCTCAACAAGCTTGACTGTTCCCTGTCGAATACTTGCCAAGAGTTTAAAAGAGTTTGATCTGCCCTCTTCTGCCCTGGAGGGATGAACCCTGTTTCGCTCATCATCAAGAGTAAAAGTTGTTCAACACAGGCAGTCAGATCAGATATTTCCAGGGGATGGAGGTGGTGATGGGACAGGTGCAGCAGGTAATGGGGGGAGGGAGCCAGGGGATGTGAGTGTTCAGGAGACAGAGCATGGGAAGCGAAGCAGGGGCCTCTGCTCCGGGACCACTTGGTAGAATTCCATGACAGCAGACAGGTTGACGTAAAGTGTCATGTTATCTATCATGCCTCGTGGTAGGCAGTTTTTGTTCTCTTTAATATAATACAATCTCTCCCTTTTTACTTGACTCTCCATGGAATTTCCTTCTGTCTAATTGGCACTGGACATACAGGCTTCCCCCGCTCTCTGAAAGTAGAATGTTCCTATTTGGTATGACTTGATTGGTTGTTTTTTGCTTCTGGGGATGCTGTTCCCATTCATTTATATGGAAACTTTTTTGATCATCTCCAAATCTCAGAAATAACCTACCAAATCATACCTATCCAAGGCATTCCTACTAAGGTAGGAGCCATCTGCTTTTGGACTGCGGGGGAAACCTGTAGTGAAAATTTCAACCGATGCAAAGATTTTTCTGTTTAGTAAGTGTCCCAGGAGCTCTTAGTGTTGGATCCTACCATGAGAAGGGTATATTATTTTCCTGAATACAAAAGTGATGCAAGCTCGTTATGGGTTCTGCTCACGTCTGAGGATGTCAGGAAAAGAGATATCACCTATCGCCCCTCTATCCTTCAGAGGAAAACAGGACATTTCCATTTTTTCCCCAGATTTTTAATGCCTACATAAATACATAGGTGGTTGTCTTTTAAAGACCGAATTGCACTGTTCTTCTTTTTAAATGTAAGCTGTGAGTAGTTCTACTGGGGTCTGTGGAATATAATGGTTGCCTTAGATTCCTTGGTCAGGGTTTAGCATTTATTTTAAAAATCCTGACTTATGGGCCAGCATCTTCTTGATTGACTTTAGGTGGTTTCCCGTTTCCCGGTATGTTTAAATGACCTGGCACTGGTCTCCTTTTGCATGCATCTTTGTGAACCAGTGCATGGATTTCTGTAGGGTAAACCCTTAGCAACGATGTCCTGTATCCCAGAGGGTGCACATTTAAATTTCTGCCAAATAACCCTCCTGAATAGTTGTGCTGTTAGTCCACCAATAGAATATCTGCTTACCTTCATTTGGACTGACTGGTTTTCTCTATCTGATTCTGCTTGCAACAGTTCTTAAGCTTATTTCTGAGAGGATGTGTCAAAATAAATGCTGTATGGGCTGGCATGATGCAAACTCTTGCCTGCCTACGATAGTGATATTTTTCTCTTTGTCAGGATTGTCTAGAAAAAGTTGCAGATGGTAAAGTAAATTACAGTTTTCCAGACAGGACTTTTCACAGGTATATTTATAAATACCTTCTTTCTTTCCAGCACAATAAAAGAGAACAGAAATGCTTCAGAGATTGTGAAAACGGTGAACTTGCTCATCACTTCCCTGAGCACAGACTTTCTGTGGGATTACCTGACGCGGTCTTTTGAGGACTGCTTTAGGTACGTACCAGCTCAGGATTATGGAGCATTTAGGGAGGTTAGAGGGTGTCATAGCCATTTACTGTGAGATGATTATATGTAACCGCTCAAGGTGGGTGGTCTCTGTTGTGAATGAAAGAATTCACTTAAAACTCTTAACAGGTTAAAAATCATCTCCAGCAGGAAACCTCACATGGTCTCCATGACTTCGGTCTGAAGCTTGTTTACTAAAGTCCAGCTTCAGGGAGGCCCCTCTGCATTTGCCAGTCTCATCGAGCAAGCCCACCTCCTCCCGCCTTCTCTTGGGGGCCTGACTTGTTAAAAAAGCTTCGCTTTGTGGCCTTGTGATAACTGTTTTTTGAAGTCATCCGTCATGTTAAATTCTGAGTAAAATTAGTGTATCACTGGTGAGATGAGAGCAATATTTTAAGCTGCTGAATCAACTTTCCTGTGTCACTTTGGGCTGGTGTTTGCAAGAGAACAGGTGACTTTGTTGGAAATCCTAAGGAACACTTCGAGTGGCGAGAGGGGGAGGAGTTGACTGGTTTTCTTTCCTGTGACCATCAGGCCAGAGAGGCAGAATCACCTCATTGGGAAGAGCATCAGCCCGCCCCCGACCATCCCCGAGCTCTGCACCCTCCTCGTGTTCCTCCTGGACGTGATTCCCTTGGTAAGGTCCTGCATCGGTGGCCCCAGGCCTGCTACTGTCCACCGTCTTAGGAGGGTGGTTGACCTAAGCGTACTGACAACTAGTTCTGCACAGTACATATTACTTTCTGAATGTTTGAAGAAGCTCTGCGGGTGATTTGACGGCAGGTGTGGTGAGGTGCAGACGTCTGGAGGGATGTCAGCCTGTATCCTTGAATCTTACAGTGTTGTACCCCAACAGGACCTTGATTAATAGATAAAAGAGCTTGTAGCTTTTGTACCCATGGTGCGTGGGCCCAGTGGAAGTTGCATGAAAGCAGATGATACAGGGGCCTCATCCCCCTGGGATGTTAATCCAGGGGTGGCAGGAAATGTATTTCCTCGTTAAAATCAGCAGATACTCTCAGAGGAAACCAGTTGCCTTAGTGTAGGCACCCATGTGGCGATTATTTTCTCTTCAAAAGGGGAAAGCCCCTTGTGGGGGGTGGGGGTGCGGCGGGTGCCTGCCTAGAGCCAATGCAGCTGCAGACTTGTTTTCTGATTTGGGAATTAGTGAGACCTGGGCTCTGGGAAGACGGATCTTCTGAGACGCTGCCCTGAGCTACATCCCCCCGCACCCGAAGGCGTACTGAACACCTGGACACACGTGTTATTGCTTCACAGGAGCTGTACTCTGAGGTGCAGACGCAGTACCTCCCACAGGTGCTGGGTGGCCTGGTGCAGCCACTGGCTGAGCACACGGATGCACTGAACCTGCCCGAGCTCACACAGGCCCTGCGGACATGCTTCAAGGTGCTGAGCAAAGTGCAGATGCCACCCTCCTATCTGGACGCGGAGGCCCCCAGCGGAAGCTCGGTGCGTGCTGGGAGGGTCTGGGGGGCTTGGACAGAGGCCAGGCCTTGGGGAGAGCATGCTGTCTCAGGGTGGCGAGGGGAGGGGGAGCCCAGAGATGCATAGGTCACACCTGAAGTGTGTTGCTGATGTCCTCAGATGCTCCCTGCTTCTGAGCAGTCTTAGCACATCTGCTGAGTGCCTTCCCCACTCCACTCCCCCAACCCCCAGTGCTGCCCTCCTGTGGCCACAGCCACAGCCCAGGTGAGCAGGAAAGGGACCTGGGGGTCTATCCAGGGATCCCAGGGGCTCTCTCAGTCTTGGTGAGGAAGAATTCAAGACCAGAGTTAGACAGAAAAGCAAGAGATTTATTGTCAGATGAGGACAGGAAAGCTCTCTGAGCAGAGAGGGATCCTAAGTGGGTGGCCACTGAGGGGGGCAAGAAACAGGTGGCCATCAGACCCATTTCTTTTTAAGGGAGAGAGGGGCCACCAGACTGTCCCCCACAAAGAATATACCAGCCCCAGCTCCGGAGACGTGCAGTCCCGTGGCCTGGAGTCACTTCTGTGTTCCACTTTGTTGAGGGGTTTGGCAGTCCTGCCGTAGGGCCACGCTCAGTGCCGGGACATGGTCGGCCATGCTTCCACAGAGCGCAGGGTGTAGCCAGACAAGCAGCTTGTGTCCCAGGCTGAGCCGATCACTGCTTGACTCCCTGGTCTCCGGGACAATTAATGCAATTTCCACTTTCTGCAGAGTCCCGTGAGAGGTGAAAACAGCGGGACTGCCCCAGACACCAGGGCGGTGATTCCCGGCGACGAAGACCCTCCCTTCCCACCCCTTAAATCTGAAGACAGTGGGATCGGGCTGAGCGCCTCATCGCCGGAGCTGTCCGAGCACCTGCGGGTCCCCAGGGTGTCTCCTGACAGAGATGACGTCTGGAAGAAGGCCGGGAGCATGCAAAGAACCTTCCTCTGCATCCAGGAGCTGGTCGCCAACTTCGCCCACAGGAACATTTTTGGAGTCCAGCTCACGGCGTCAGGAGGAGAAAGCAAGCCCGAAGAGCCTGCTGGTCAGCAGGACACAGGCGGGTTGCCGGGCGTGGTGACGGGGGACCCCAGCAGGAAGAACTCGTGGGACGCGCGGCCCATCAGCATGCCCCAGCTGAAGCAGGTGCTCTCAGGCCTGTTCACAGCTCGGGGGTCTCCTTTTAAGCCCAAGGGCATGGATTCGCTGTCGCCTTCACCCAGCAGCCCTGGCAGGAAGCAGGAGGGCGAGTGGACCGTGGAGCAGGTGGTCATTGACGTGGGGGGCTCGAGCGAGGGCTGCAGGGAGGCCTTTGCCGCCGCCTGCCACCTGCTGCTGGACTGCGCCACCTTCCCCGTCTACCTGTCAGAGGAGGAGACAGAGCAGCTCTGCGAAATGCTCTTCCAGCCTCCAGGTGAGAGGGCAGCCCCCCCAAAGGCCACAGGGGACCCCATCATTTACACGGGGGAGGTTAGAGACAGGCTAGAGCCCATCAGTTGGGAAGGAGCCACCCGTTTCCTTCCCCGTCTGGTGATTAATGGCGTGCACTCCTGACGGGTTGAAACCGGCGAGGCTGCACGTCTCCTTACTCATCCAGAGCACGGCACAGCCATGAGAGGCCCGGGGACTGGCAGGTGTCGAATCACCAGGAGTCAGCAGAGTGTTTCATGATACCCGATATTAGAGATCTGGTGTCTTAGCTCCCTGGAGCCTGTAACAGGGCACCTGAATGAAGGGCTTAAGAGTCAGGCATGCACTGGCTCGGGCTCTGGAGCCTGTGGTGTGAGGTGGTGCGGGCAGGGCTGTGCTCTCCCTGCAGGACCCAGGGAAGGAGGAGCGCAGGCCTCGCCCAGGTCCGCTGTTCTCCTTCCTCTCCCGCCTTATCAGGCTTGTCTCTGCCTGTTTGAATTCTCTTTCTTAAGACACCTGTTACCCTGGAGAGCATCACCTTCAGTTTCCTTCTTCTGTCCCTGGCCCTCCAGCTGTGGCGCCTCCGTGCCTGGCAGGGCTGCGTTTGGAATTGATGCCTCTGTCTTTGGCCTCTTTTATGTGCATGCCCTGTGCCCTGCTTCACACGACAGCCTTGAAAACATGCTTTCAGTTCTATCCCAAAAATGAGGATTTTGCTCTGTGAATTTTTAAAAGAAAAACACTTTGATGGATCTCACAGGCCTGAGGTTGACATGTGCAGAATTTGGATAGTCTGACAAGCACATGAAGTGAGACTCAGTCTCATCTGTCCTCTGTCACCACCAGAGTCCTCTGCTGCCCGGGGTGCTCCTGGGCCTGAGACGCCACACCGCAGTGGACCCCTGCGGCTCCTGCCATGTTCTCTGCTCCGCTTCCTTTCAGGAGCCAGCGATCCCAGCTTCCCATCCTGGCTGAAGTCCCTGATGACCATCTGCTGCTGTGTGACCGACTGCTACCTCCAGAACGTGGCCATCTCCACCCTGCTGGAGGTCATCAACCACTCCCAGTCCCTTGCACTTGTCATCGAAGACAAGATGAAACGCTACAAAATCTCTGGACACAACCCGTTCTTCGGCAAGCTGCAGATGGTCACAGTTCCCCCCATCGCCCCAGGGATACTGAAAGTGATTGCAGAGAAAACAGACTTCTATCAGGTACTGTCGCACCAGGGGGGTTGGGGACCTGGGAGGTCGGCCCTGTGATTGCAAGGCCATGGCTGCCAGTGACCTGGGGCCGCCTGCCCAGGCCGGCACATGCTGGCCCCGCGCCACTAATGGCTGCCTTACTGCTCTGTTGTTTCCACAAGTCTCCGGGACACAGTTATGCCACAGCGTGATCCCCTTAAACCTGCACCCTTGAGACCATTCTGTGGAATTTGTTTTGACCCAGGAGGGTTCTTCCTGTCTCTTCCCCTGGTTATTTCTGGTAAATGAGCTGACTGTGGCTTCGGTTGTTGCTGTCACAGAGCCAGCAGCCTCCTCTCGGCTGCCTACCTCCAGCCTCTCCAGGCTTGAGTCTGTGCACAAGGAGTCCCACGTTGCTCATGGGGATAGAGGCCGGTTTCTGGGCTGGGGCTGGACTGGCACGGGAGGAGTGGGTGCTGCCCATGACCGTGGCCTCCTCTCCGCCCCAGAGGGTAGCACGTGTGCTGTGGAATCAGCTGAACAAGGAGACCCAGGAGCATCACATCACCTGTGTGGAGCTGTTCTACCGGCTGCACTGCCTGGCCCCCACGGCCAACGTCTGCGAGGACATCATCTGCCACGCCCTCCGCGACCCTGACAAGGTACACCCTGCAGGCCAACCCCTCCCCACCCTGCCCCCCCCCCCCCGCCCTGTACCGCTGGCCTGGTGCGCACCTGCCCAGGCAGACTTGGGGATGCAGGTGAATCCTTTCCTGCTCGCTGGTTTACAGATGAGTTAGAGAGTCTGGGGCCTACCAGGCCTCCAGAAGCACAAGCCAAAACCTGCCTGGAGTCCATGCTGCGCTCACCCAAGAATTGGCCCAAACCCCTGCTGGGCTTCCAGAGCCCCTGCTAATTTGTCAGTTGTAGGATGTCTTGGCCCCTGTAGCTCTGCCTCTCCTTTGCAGCCGAGCTGTTTCCTTACTCTTGACAGCCCCCAGGCCTGGCCATTTCAAGGGCCCAAGAATGCTGAGTCCTTTGGGTTTGTCTTAGGACCACAGGCCTTGGGTGTGACCCTGGACATGGGCTTGGACCAGTGTGGGAACGTCCACTCTGGCCTGTGTGGGTAGAGGTAGGAGGCCAGCCCAGCCCCACCGCCTCTCTGCCTCGGGCAGCTATGTTTATGCTGAGAGGTCAGTCTGCTGGAGAGAGGTTCTCACTCCCTTTACTTCCCTACCAAGGGCACGAGACTGGAAGCTCTGTTCAGGTTTTCTGTCATCTGGCACTTGACGAGGGAAATCCAGGGCAGCCGAGTCAGCTCCCACAACCGCTCCTTCGACAGGTGAGTGTCCTCACGACAATCCACCTTTACGGCACGAGGAGCTTTGCCGAGCTTCCCGGTCAGCATGCTGGGCTGGGGGGCCGGGGAGTGGCATCCGAACGTGAACACACACCCCATGTTCTTGATGCACAGCAAACAGGCTCCTGAGTGAATTTGGGCCAGACGCGTGTGGGTATGTGTGGTAGGAATTCCCTCGACTTGGTCTTGGAGGGAGGCAGGCCAGCGAGAGGGGCATCAGGCTCCCCTGGGCAACTTCTAGAATGTGCCCCACGAGGGACTGGGAGGGAGGCGAGATGGTGGCTGTGCTGGGTGCCCACCCTTATAACGTCATCCAGTACCTGGTTAAGGTATGAGTTTTATTGCAGATACATTCTGTTGCACATTGTTTTTCCAAATTCCCTCACCTTGTTTCTGAAATTCCAGGTGTGGGGCCAGGCATGCAGTCTTAGATGCCCAGGGTGCCCACCTTTATGGTCAATATAAGTAATTTGGTGTGAGGCCGGGGTTTTGGCATTTTAAACCCGTGTCCCCTTCTGAGGACCCTCCCCCACCCTGCCCTGCCCTACCCCATCCTTTGTCTGCTTGGGCCTGCAAGTCAGCTTCAGTGAAGCTCCCAGTTGTATCCTGGCAGGGGGTGCACCTGATGCTGACTTCATGGTGTGCCCTGCCCCCGCCCCGCCCAGGTCCCTGTTTGTCGTGCTGGACAGCCTGACTTGCACGGACGGGGCCATCGGTGCAGCCGCCCAGGGCTGGCTGGTGCGGGCCCTGTCCCTGGATGACGTGGCGCGCATCCTGGAGCCTGTGCTTCTGCTCCTGCTGCAGCCCAAGACCCAGAGGACCTCCATCCAGTGCCTGAAGCAGGAGAACACAGCGGGTGAGGCCCCAGGGCCCCAGGTGGGCGGGAGGGGGCGCCCATCCTGACAGTGAGCGTGTCTTGTGAACTTATGGGAGCTTTTAAAACGTAGGGTCAGATGAACCAGCACCTAGCAATGCTAAATAGTAGGGTTTTTAAATAAAAAAGGAAAATTTGATAACATACGTTTGTTGAGGTGGAACCTAGATCCCTAAACACACACAGTATTAAGGCCCAGTGGTAACTTCAGTAAAGATCACTGAGAATTTTTTTTTCTTCTTTTTCTTTTTTTTTTTTTGTGGGACCCTCACCGGTGGCCGGGGAACGAACTGGCGCTGCAGAGGCTGCGGGCAGCCTCGCAGCCCAGCGCTCAACCGCTGCGCCACCAGGGGAGGCTCAAGATCACTAAGAATTTTTAACTGTAAATGTCTTTGAAAATTAAAAAGGAAAATTTTAGTAACTCATGTCCCATGAGTTTTTGGTTCTCTCGCTGGAGAGAAGAATGAAGGTGCATCCTGAAAACAGGCCATCATCCAAGTGGGCCCCAACCCCCAAAAGAATGACATGTCTAGGGTGTGGGGTGATGTTAGGTTAGGGTCTCCTGGGCAGAAGGTTCTCAGGAACCCAACTTAGACCTGGTGATGGAGAGTTTATGATGCTTCCAGTACAAACAACTGCGAATGTCAAAGTTTGTCCTATAATCCACCAGTCGTCATTTTATTCATGAAAAATAACTTATTTGTGAACCTTGAACTACCTGTTACGTGGTTCCTCTTTGATGCGCTCTCTCCAATTTCCTGCCAGTGGTAAAACTCCCTCAGCATCATTAGAAATGCAGAAGAAATAAACATTTGGCTTCCAAAAGCTTCCAGGAGCATCTTTAACACAAATTTTATTTTACTTTAAAGATTTTATTTTTGCATAGAACAGGGATGTAGGCCAGAGCTGTGGAGGGTGAGAGGACTCACCAGAGACAGAGTGGGGTGCAGAGCAGGCAGCTTGACTGAAACATAGTGCTCGGGAGCAGCAGGGAGACAGGAGAGGTCTACTGTGCCATGTGGATAGCTCCCTGGCTGGGGAGCACACTCCGGCCACAGTGGTGGGCTGGCGTAGTGACAGTGCTGAGACTTAACTCCTGGGCCACAAGGGAGGCCCAACACAAATTCTAAAGACTACATAGGGGGGAAGAATAAAAGATGACAACAAATCGGACGTGTTTGCTCAACTTGCACAATTACTGCCTGACACAGCTCAGGAACTAAAGTGACCCCGCACAGGCGTCCCACAGGGCTAGGCAGTGGCTGACTAGCTTGGAGTGGGTGTGAGCGGCTTGCTGGGTTGTGAATAATGTGTTTGTCACGGCCTTTCCTTAACACAGCAAAGCAGCCCCTACCTAAGGAAGCAAAGATTCCAAGCTGGCTCCCTCTCTTTAGAAGATGCCTTGCCTAAAGCTGTATTTAGATTTCCTTTAGGAAGGGAAGTTAGCTGCCTCCTTAAAATGGAGACATTTTCTTTTTCCACATTATAAGAAAGTAAAAGGCAAAGAAATGTAAACATAGCACCTTATTAAAAGTTTGGCCATGGCTGGTGGCAGCTAAACTTTTGAGTATTAAGGGAAAGTTGTAACCCCCGGGCTTACTGGCTTTGAGCTTCCTGTTGCGTCTCCTGATTGCTGTTCTGGCTGCCTTCCTAACAAGGGAAAGCATCTTTCCTCTGCCAGGCTCTGCCGCGGACCAGCACAGCGATGGACGATGAGGCCGTCTCAGGGTTGAGAGATTGCGCAGGGTGGTCAGGGATTCGATGAATAAATGACACACAGACACACTTCAAGAGAGTGAAAATCTGAGTGCACTTTTATTAAGCTAGTGGTCAGTATATATATGTTTTTCTAAAGGCATAGGAACAGTGAACATCAAAGAGATCAGTTTGCTCATAGACTTAGCTTAATTGACAGGGCAGTGATTTATGTCCGAAGTTACATCTGGACCTAGCCTCATTCCTAATTGGACAGGCTATAAATTCTTTTTACTGTTCTATATAATTATTTTCTAGTTGCACTAACTATCACTATTACCTACTCATTTTTACTCATAATTAATTGTCATGGGTGAATTTATTTTATAATGCAGTTAATATCATAGGTACTAAAGTCCAGCACATAATAGAGAGATTATTAAACTAACAATTCTATTATTACACAGTGTTTAGTAATGTTTCATTTGGATTAGCCTGTTTATTAAATTATGTATATTTTTTTAATTAGCAATCAATGACCAGAAAAAGGAAAGATTTTAGAGAGACAGTTGTAGCAGAATAAAGTTTGTGGGCCTTGAGAAAGCGAGATAAGGTTCCAGGTGGTCAGCATTTCTTTTAATCATCTTTGTGGCAGTTTTTGGTGGTCATTATCTCTTGACAGGCATTCAGTTTCTCTGCATCTTAGGGAGTTTGCTGTTCTCCCCCTGCGCGCATGGTTCCTTGCCCACGCCGGACCTCAGGGACCATGGCAACAGCCATTAGCCCTGAGGGTCACTGCAGGGGGAGGTGCAGCAAGGCTCCATCCCTGTGTTGACTGAAATAAAAGTCTTGACAGAGTTTATTATCTCATGAGAGGAGGGTCTGAGCCCAGGAAGCAGTGGGATAGATTAGCCTCTGTGAGAGCTGTTCCCGCCACCACAAGCCTGGGTTCAGTTTTTATAGGTAGGAATGTTAGGGGGAAAGGCTGCCCTGAGCTAATCCCATACAGGCTTTGTGGATGCCACCCCCACTCCAGACCAAAGCCATCAGGACATTGGGAGAGACAAATCCCATCACTACCAAAGGGAGGGTGGCTGGGACCTGAGGGTGGAGTTAAGCCGCCAGGTTGGGTATAAAAACCAAACACGTGGGCCTTGGGGGGCTCGCTATCGCTCGCCTCCTGGCTTCACGGCTCCTGGCTGGCGGCCAGCTCTCAGAGCGCCATTTTGGGATTCCTGATCAGCAGATTGGGTAGGACGCATTTAAAACTTTGTCTCCCACTTTTCTCCCTGAGCTGTACATTTCCTCATTTCCCCTTCCCTTGTCAATAAACCTTTTATGAACCTTTCGTGTGTGCCTGCAGTAGAGCATTGATAAGTCCTTTTAAGCGTGCGGGTGAGGACCCACAGTCAGGCACCCCGTTTTGTATCGGGGCTGCCCTATAACAGGAACAGTGAGGCATTGATCTCGAAAAATGTAATTATTCTTGATGGGGGCTGGGGGCTTCTGGCTTTCATCTATAGCCTTAGATCTTTCAACTTCCCAAGTTATCGCCACCAAAATATATGTCAATGCTGTGTGGGTGCTGAGGAGGGCAAGTGCTGTAGTTTAAGATTTTTCCTGATTTCTAAAGAATACACTATGGAAGACTGGGGACCTGGTCTCTGTATCTTCTTTATCTGGCTGCTTGGTTTTTCATAGGGCCTGAAAGGTCAGTTTGCCCTCAGGTAGCATATTTTTGCACAGCTGCTTCTCAGAACAGGGTGGAGCTGGTTCTGATCTCATGTTTGGGTAGCCAGCTTCGTGCTCTGCCTGCTAGAGCGAGGAGGGGCTTCCCGGAACATCTACAATTCATGCATGCCTGGAAGCAATTAGAAGTATGCTGCTTGCCCCACCCTGCCTCCTTGAAAACAGGGAAGTCTGTTTTCAAACCATGACACCCGGCAGTTCATCTACTTCTAATATCTTACTCCTTCTCTCTTGCTCTTGATTGACCTTCTTGAAGTAGATTTATTGAAAGCTGCGTAGTTGGCAGAACTAAAGGCTCCTGGCTTTCCTTCCTTTTAAAGCAACATAAATATTTAAAAGTGTTGTGTATTTTCTGATTACAGAAGCACTAACTGTGCTCATTTTAAATTGGAATAAGGAAGTGAAAACAGTGCCAGAGCCTGTAATGCAGGTAATGGAGCTGATCACTGTCAGCGGTTTGCACCCCTCCTTCTAGGCGCTTCCATGGCTGCTTGTCACGATCCCCTCCCCTAAATGCGTTCATCGCTCACACCTCTCTGCAGCCGGGTTTCCTCTGCATGTCGCCCCAGCTCAGGCCATGTAGCTGTTAGGCCCGCGGGGCAAGCGGGGCCGTCGTGGCGCACTCTTGCTGCAATCCCATCAGCCAGTCTCACCTGCAGAACTCATGCTCCGGTCTCCTTTCCCCCGTGATGTCTCCCCGCACGCCCTTCGCACTCAGGAAGCCTCATGCTGGTGTCTCTGAATGTTGAGTACATTTTTTAAAAGGAAACTCCTGGGGGCCTCCCCTGTGGCGCAGCAGTTGAGCGCTGGGTTGCGAGGCTGTCCACAGTCTCTGCAGTGCTGGTGCAGTGCTGGTTCAATCCCTGGCCACCCGGCGAGGGTCCCCCATGGCACGCAGACCTCTCCCGCCACCCGCTGCTCCCCTCAGCAGTGTACTTCGTCACTCTGCCTGTTCTGCTCCCCGCTCTGGCTCTGGTGAATTCTCTTACCCTCCCGCACCTCTTACTATACCCAGTGCTTGTATAAATAAATAAATAAATCTTTAAAAAAAAAAAAAAAGGAAACTTCTGGGCCAAAAGTTATCCAAGTTTTAAATCCCCCTTCCATGACGTGACTAAATTACTTTGTTCCTTGAATATTTTGCAAAGACTGGTTCACTTGATTGGTCTCCCTTCTAGACCCTGGCGAGGTCTCACGGGGGATTTTATTAACATTGACCTTCCTGCCTAGTTTTAAGACTAAGATCATCTAGAAGGAACTTCTTATGGCTGAGCTTTCTGTTTTGAAGTCGTTTCTCGCTTTGTCACTTCTAGAAGACTTGCATCGTTGGTTCACCAGGAAGAAAATCTCTTTCAAAGAGGCGTGTGGTGCACCTGAGCTTCAGGAGGGCGGCTCGGAAGACAGCCTGCCCCTGAGCCAGCTCACTACCGTGGACCGGGAGGCCATCTGGGCTGAGGTGGAGAAGGAGCCGGAGAGAGGCCCGCCGGGAAGCGAGCTGAGCGAGGAGGACCTTCCCGACCCCATGGGCCCACCCGAGCGGCCAGCCAGCGGTACCGCGGGCAGCAGTGAGCACAGTGAGTCTGCAGATACCAGCTCCGTGCACACGGACAGCGAGAGCACCTCCTCCTTCTCCTCCCCCTTGCACGACCTGCAGGAGCTGAGCCAGGAGGAGCAGTGCTGCGGACCCCTCCCCGTGGGGGGCCGCCTTCACCCCAAGCGCCCAGCCCTGCTGGCTGCCTGCCAGGCAGACAGCTTCCAGCCCCATGCCAGGTTAAGCCTGACACGTGTGGACTCAGACAAGACACAGGCCTCAGAGTCACTGTCCAGCGATGAGGAGGCCGACCTGGAGCTGCAGGCTCTATGCGTGTCCCAGCAGCTGAAGCAGCAGCAGGAGCAGCGGGAGACGGTGGAGGCCTTGTTCAAGCACATCCTGCTCTATCTGCAGCCCTACGACTCCGGGCGGGTGCTGTACGCCTTCTCAGTGCTGGAGGCCGTGCTCAAGACCAACCCCAGGGAGTTTATCGAGGCCGTATCGCGGACCAGCATGGACACCAGCTCCACCGCACACCTCAACCTCATTTCCAACCTCCTGGCCCGCCACCAGGAAGCCCTGGTGGGGCAGAGCTTCTATGGGAAGCTGCAGACCCAGTCCCCCAATGTGTGCCCCCACTCCCTGCTCATCGAGCTGCTCACCTACCTGTGCCTGAGCTTCCTGCGCAGCTACTACCCCTGCTACCTGAAGGTCTCCCATCGAGACGTGCTCGGCAACCGGGACGTCCAGGTCAAGAGTGTGGAAGTTTTGGTCAGGATCATGACACAGCTGGTCTCGGTGGCCAAGTCTGCCGAAGGGAGGACGGTGGAGTCCATCCGCAGCCTGCTGCAGCGGTGTAGAGTGCAGGAGTTCGTGCTGCTGTCGTTGTCGGCGTCCATGTACATCAGCCAGAAGCGCTACGGGCTAGCCACGGCAGAGCGAGGCCGGGCCCCACGGGAGGACAGCCTCTTTGAAGAGAGTCTCATCAACTTGGGCCAGGATCAGATCTGGAGCGAGCACCCCCTGCAGATCGAGCTGCTCAAGCTCCTGCAGGTGCTGATCGTCCTGGAGCACCACTTGGGGCGGGCCCAGGAGGAGACCGAGAATCAGCCCGAGCTGGCCCGGGAGTGGCGGAAGGCCCTGAACTTCCAGCAGGCCATCAGCGCCATGCAGTACGTGCAACCGCACCCCCTCACCTCACAGGGGCTACTGGTGTCGGCCGTGGTGCGAGGGCTGCAGCCGGCCTACGGCTATGGCATGCACCCGTCCTGGGTGAGCCTGGTCACGCAGTCCTTGCCCTACTTCGGAAAGTCGCTGGGCTGGACGGTGACCCCCTTCATTGTCCAGATTTGCAAAAACTTGGATGAGCTGGTCAAGCAGTATGAAAGCGAGTCTGCAAAGCTCTCTGCCAGGTATGGTGAAGCCTGGATGTGTTGTTACTGCTTTTGTGGTCGTCTCTGTCATGAGAGGCTGAGAAGGCAGTTGGGGGATAATTTCTTTTTTTTTTTTTTTTTAAAGATTTATTTATTTATGCATACAAGAGCTGGGGTACAGGCCAGAGATGAGAGGGGGTGAGAGGATTTACCAGAGACAGAGTGGGGAACAGAACAGGCGGACTGACTGAAACACACTACTTAGGGGGCCAACGGGCGAGACGGGAGAGGTCTGCTGCGCCCTGTGGGTTTCTCTCTGGCCGGCTGGGGATCGAAATCATGCTGCAGAGGCTGTGGATTGCTTCATAGTGCGGTGCTTAACCCTTTGCGCCACCAGGGAGGCCCAGTTGGGGGACAATTTCAACCTATCCAGAAACCTGTTTGGGGTGGCTGGGGGGTTACGAGGTGCTGGAAGTGCACATCCTCCTTTTTAACTCCCCCTGCTCCCCAGCCTAGCTCCAGGTTGCAGGGCATATCAGTCCCTCTCTGTTATTTTTGCAAAACAGAAATTTAAAAAATGCACGTCGTCTTCATGGAATTCTAAAACGTCTGAAAACATTTTTCAGCAGTGACCATGTGAATGTCAAATAAAATTGCACAAGAGAGGACTGTCTTGACCACACGAGGGCCCTGGGTTATTGGGGAAGCCTGTGCTATCTCTCTCGTTTGTTTATTAAAAACATTTATGGCCTCGCTCTTAAAAATTCTCAAAACCAGTTTCTCCTTTCTTCACCACAGTGTAACCTCCAAGAGAGAAAACATCTCTCCAGATTACCCACTCACTCTTCTGGAAGGCCTGACAAGCATCAGTCATTTTTGCCTTTTGGAACAACCCAACCAAAGCAGAAAGGTAAATTATTTTTTTCCTGAGGTCGAGGCTTTTTTTTTTTTTTTTATAGTTTTATCTTCGTGGGTGATAGCTGTTTCAAATGAAGTAATGTGTGTATGTGATGCAAATATGTATGCAAGGGGGGGCAGGAGGGGGTCTGGAGAATACCATGCATTACGCGTGCCAGCATGTGCGGACTGATGGGATGTTTCCCTGGTGCTTCCCGGGGGTCCCATCAGCCCAGGCCCTTGTTTCATCGGGAACAGCGCGGGATAAGACAGATGGCTGCTAGCTCAATTTTAGGCTTATGTGACCTCCTTCCCCTGTGCTTGCGCTGGACCTCCCAGTGCTGGTGGAGTCTGTGCTTGACGGCGTCTGGGCTGATGGTTGCTCTGCGCTGTCTGGCTCAGCTGCAGAAAGCACCTCCTGCTTGGGTCGAGTGGTGGAGAGAGTTTGTCTGGTGGAGCCTCGCAGGCCGCCCTCCTTGAGAGAAAGCCTGGGGCTCAATGTGTTGCTGCCAGGCCTCCACGGGGGCCTGCTGGGGGCCAACACCCAGGCGGGACCCCGACTGACAGCCACAAAGAAGGCAGCGCACCAGTGCAGCCGGGCCTCACTGGTTCATGTTCATTTTTAGACCTCGGCCATGAGTGATCCTGCCAGTCTGAAAAACGCCAAGAACGCCATCCTAGAAGAGCTGCCGCGGATGGTGAGCACCATGGCCCTGCTCTGGAGCGTGCTCACCAGGGAGGAGGCCCACAAGAGGCCCGCCGACCTCCTCGGGGCCACAAAAGGCTCCTCTTCGGTCTACTTCAAAACCACCAAAGTGAGAGACAGTCCTCTATGGCTTTATTATGTCATTATTCATTGTCTCGTCCCACCAAAAATAAATGTGTGCAGGTAGACAGGCGAGGCCACCAAACGTGATGTGCTCTGCGGGCCTGCACCGGAGCAGGGAGTAGAATTGCCAGGTTTTCTAATTACCACCAAGTTTCCTGTCGGTGGCATGAATAGGTTTTCAGCCTGTTTTTTCCCCTTTGCCTGTTTTTAACTAAAAATAGTGTCTGGGTGCAGGGTGGGTGCCCTCTCAAGGACATCTCTCTGTCCCCGTTGCTAGGACAGCTAACTTCCCCTTCCGGTTCCAGGCTCCTGAGGTCAGGGGGAATGTTAGGGTGTTTTTTATGAAACCAGAAATGATTTCATGACATTTCCAGCTCATCCTTCCTCGGTTTTACGTCTATGCTTTGGGAGCATCCAGCAGGCGACCCAGGGCCTCATGCTTCTCAGGGACTGCGTCTCCTGTCAGCTGAGCCCCCGGCGCCAGGCGTGACCCCTCAGCTCACACAGGTGCCTGATGGCCCAGGAGCAGGCTGCTGGGGCAGCTGCGTCCCAGCCGTCCATGGGACCACAGGCAAGGCCCGGCCCTTAGCCTCTCCAGAGTTTCCTTGGTTGGAAACAGGACACCAGGCAGCACCCAGAGTGCTCTGTGTTTATCAACGAATTTATTCCTCTCCGACGAGATTATTGCCGAGTTAGAGGCGCGTGTGTTGGCGTACAGAGAGTGAGTGTTACTTCCAAGTGACGTCTGATTATCAATGACAGTCTCATTTTAAGCCGTCTGGTGCCCAGGTGGCTGTACTTCATGCACAGGCTTCCAGAATGTTCTTTCAGTTCCGGGGGTACCTTGCAAGGGAAATCTGTATTTCAGGCTGCCACGGGAACCTGCTTAAAGCCTAGGTCTCCTCTAAAAGGGATTCAGGAAACCCTGACACACTTTGAGCCTTCATGTCCTTTTTGGAAAACAAGTGGGTTATTAGCACCTACCGCATGGGTTGCTGGAAAGAGTCTTTTTGACATGGGCTAATGATGTTGAACCTTCACTGAGGCCCTCCCTGAGGGACCCAGGGCCTTGTGCTGAGACTCCCCACCCTCCATCGCAGTGGTCTCGCCAGGGCAGAGTCCATGGCGGAATGGAGCGGCCAGCTCTTCCAGTGATAGTGGACGCTGGCCGTGGGCACACAGCGGGCTCATTCATTCATTCATTGCACCCACTGCTGCGTGGGCCAGACCCTGATTATGTGCCAGACAATGTGCTGGAGGAGCCCCTGCCCTCAGGGTGGACACAGCTGTAACGGCCGTTTTATGACAGTAAGAGCTATAAAGCCATGCTGTTGGCTTGTTGATTCAACAGTGAGGTTAGTTAAATGTACTTATTTGTGGAAATGGAGACACATCTGGCCTGGTGAGTGTCAGCCCTTACTGACCGGAGACAAGCTGGGCTTTGGGCTGCGGGGTGCAGTGCCAGTCCCGCTCCTGGATCACCCCTTTCTCACTCTGCAAAGCATCCCCTGGCCTCCTTCCTGCCCTGCTCGGCTCAGCCACTGTGGCCCAGGCCCCCCACCACAGATGAGGGGCCTCACCCCTCCTTCCCTGTAGGTCAGCCTGGGCGCTTCTCCCGCCCACCACAGGCACTCGGGGGGGCCCCAGCCCACAGCCCCTGCTCCCCGGCCCCGGTGGCCGAGGTGCATATTGAACTCTCCGCCCTGAGGGGCTCTGCTCTAACTCTCCACTTTTTTTCTTATCTAGACCATACGACAAAAAATTTTGGATTTCTTGAACCCCTTGACAGCCCCTCTTGGGGTTCCTTTAATAGCTGCGGTGGCAGCCGTGTGGAGCAGAAAGAAAGCCAAACGCCACAGCAAAATGAAGGTAAGGCAAGAGTCAGCGTAATGGGGGCCTTGCTCTGGGGAAGATACCAGGAGCAGATGGGATCAAAGATCAAAGGTCTCGTCCAAGGCTGAGGTAGGAAACCACTGGCATCATGTACCTATGTTTCTTACAACTAGAACTGGGGTGGGGGGGAGGCAGCGATGAACCCGCCCCAACTTCTGCTTTCTGATCTGTTCCCAGAGGGCACCTGAGTGGGTGGTGGCCCAGGCCATGCTTAGCCCCTGTGGGTCCTTCCCTGCCAATGACCCCAGTCCTAGTGGGCTCTTCCACCTGTGATCCCCTCGAAATATCATCAAAATCTCCCTGCCACATGGGCTTTTCCTGCAGGGCCTGCCAGCGTGAACCTGGCTCCTCTGCTTGGCTGAGGGTCCGCATGCTCTGGGAGCCAATTCATGATGCCAACCTGTTCCTCATGAGGCGTGTCTGTTTCTTAACATGCCCTTTCTCCAGGGGCTGCCCGTGGGCACACGAGCTGTGCCACCCTGTTTTCTGTGTTCACTCTGTAAGCCTCATGGGAATTCCTTTTCTCTGCAGATCGTGCCTGAGGCCAGCGCGTCCCAGCTCACCCTTGTCGACCTGATTGGTGCCCTCAGCACCCTGCAGACAGACTCGGTGCTGCAGCTGGTAAAGGAGGTGGTGAAGCGGCCGCCACAGATCCGAGGGGACGAGGTCAGGCTCCTGGGGGACGGGGATTATGCTGCGGTGTCCGTCACTGCAGCTCCAAGTGGGGGCTGGAAGGGAAACAAAGGTCTAATCTGCATCCAGGAATTTGGGCTTGTAAAATGGAGGCATCCTCATGCACAGGGCTTTGGGAGACCACAAGAAATGTGCTGGGGGGACACTCCTTTATGGTGGGAGCCATTTATGGTCAGGACCAGCTTCTGCCCCTCAGTCCCTGCTTGGGGCGCTGGCTGGCCATGGGGTCTCATCAAGTACCTGCCCTGCCCAGTTGAACAAAACCTCAGAGGGGAACAGTACTTGCCCCAAGGAGCTGGCAGCACCCTTGAAAGTGCCTAGCTCAGTTAGTAGGTGTTTTAAACTGAAAATGAGGGCAGAGGGAGGGTGAATGACCAAAGGCTCAGGCAGAGTCAGGAAAGTGGGAAATCACATACACACGCACACAAAAACCAAACAGGAAGGGGCTTGTCCGAAAGGATTATCTGAGTTTGTCACTGGAAGTTAGAGGTTCTGCTCCTGTGGGTGGGGGTGGGAGGCCTGATTTTTCTCCATGACTGTATTTGAAAGGGACACCTCCCAGGTCCTTGAGAAAGACATTCCTGAGTTGTGGGTGTTACATGTACATCTCAAAGGGACAGAGTAAGGATTATAACTGTAGATGTTCCTTGACACGTGTTCTCAAGAGGGAGGTTAGGAGCCTGTCGGGCTTTGGCTGAGCAAACAGCAGATTCTTTTGGCAGCAGGCGCTTTGTGTGTGGGGGTCTGGGTCACATCCTAGGGGCAGGTCCTGGCACTGTGAGAAACCAGGCCAATGTCTGTTTAAGTCCTTAGTGTGGGGGTGACTGAAGTCATACATGCAGAATGTCACATCCCCTAGGCCGAGGTGGGGACCCCTGAGGGAGAGAACTCAGCATCTGATGAGAGTTGGTTGAGGGGCTTGAGCCTTGGTCATGGGGCAAGTTAAAAATGTGGGTGGAGGGCCTCCCTGGTGGCGCAGCGGTTGAGCGCTGGGTTGTGAAGCTGCCCATAGCCTCTGCAGCGCCGGTTCGATCCCCGGCTGCTCCCCGGCCACCGGAGGAGGGTCCCGCATGGCGCGCAGACCTCTCCTACCGCCCGCTGCTCCCCTCAGTAGTGTGCTTTGGTCCTTCTGCCTGCTTGGCTCCCCGCTCTGGCTCTGGTGAATTCTCTCACCCTCCCGCGCTTCTGACTGTACCCAGTGCTTGAATAAATAAATAAAAATGAATCTTTTTTTAAAAAAACCCAATCCTTAAAAAAAAAAAAAAAAGTGGGTGGAGATTATGAAAGTAGAGAATGCGTGTTGAGGGACATACTGGGCCTTGTCAGGAAGAGGAGAACCCCCCCAGGGCGACAGCGAGGACTGACATGCTGGAGCTGGGGCGCCGAGGCTGTCTTTCCCGCTGGCTTTCTCCCTGGCTTTCTGCAGCAGCCCAGGGCGTCCAAGGTTCTTATGAGCTGTGCGCCATGGTTCTGGAGCAGAACAGACCTGGGCATCACCATGTTCTGTCCTTCTGGTTTCTGAAACCAGAAACCAGAATTTTGGTTGCCTCCTATCAAGTAATTTAAATTTAGACGGTTAGGGAAAAAATTAAGAATAAGTTCCTCACTGAAAATTAGTGGACTGGACCATCTGTGGAGTAATTATTTGAAGATATATGTATTTTTCCTCATACCAGTATTTGTACACCAGTGTTCACAGTAGCATTATTCACAACAGCCAAAAGGTAGAAATATCCCCAAATCTATCAATGGATGAATGGATAAAGTAAGATGGTTCAACATAACCATTTTTCAACTTTGCAGTGGTCCAAAACCCTTAGAGACTGCAGTTTGAATTTTGAACTTGACCATTTACCAGGCTGGTCAGATGTGGTCTGTGGTGCTCTGCTGTGGCGCGGGCAAGCAGCAGCTCCAAGTCAGGCAGGAGCCCGACACCGCAGGCTGGTCTTCCTGAGCACGGCATTCACTGCATTATGGGAGCGGGCCCACGCTTCATTTTCAAATGGGCTTCTTCGTGTTGGAGGGTTTTGCTGGAGGCTGACGAAGCGGTGACTCTGCAGCGTTCGGTAGGCCAGGTATATGAGATGCATCTTCCACTTGGGATATCTTCAAATTGTAATAGGTTTGTCAGGATATAACCCCTCATAACTCAGCGAAAGGCCTGTATATATGTATGCACTGGGATCGTGCTCAGCCTTAAAAAGGAATGAAGCTTTGGCACAGGCTACAGCATGGCTGGCCCCTGAAAGCATTACGGTATGTGAAACACACCGGTCACAAAAAGACAAAAACTGATTCCATGTCTGTGACACACCTAGGGGAGTCACAGTCCTACGTAGAGACAGAAAGTAGATCGCTGGGACCAGCAGCTGGGGAAGGGGCGGGGGAGTTAGGGTTTAATGGGGCCAGAGCTTGTTTAGATGATGAAAAAGTTCTGAACATGATGGATGTACTGATGGTTGCCGTACAGTGCGAATATACTGAATGCCATTGAACAGTATGCTGAAAGAGGGTAAAAATGGTCTATTTTCTTGTGTTTATTTTACTACAAAAAAAGACCTTTTTTATTGTGTGATAGATGATCAGGTGTGGTGTTACTAGGTCAAAGGCCATACACTGTTCTAGCTTTGATTAGGTCGCCTTCCAAAGCCCTCTCTGCTCCTGACCTCGCAGGGGCAGTGGGCGCTAGTGCCTTCCCCCTGACCCTGGCCACCTCTCTGTGCTGGGTCCTTTGTCATGTCTGCCTCAGTGTCATCTTAGAGAGGCATTCCTTGACCCCAATAGGCCACTGTTATTTAAATATTCATGTCTGAAAGCTGAAAGCTTTCGCTTTAAGATAGGGAACAAGGTGGGCCTCCTTGGTGGCGCAAGGGGTTAAGATGCAAACTATGAAGCTTTCGGCAGCCACTGCAGCACGAGTTCAATTCCCCGGCAAGGGAACCACCCATATGGCGCAGCAGACCTCTCCTGACTGCCCCGCTGCACCCCTCAGCAGTGTATTTCAGTCGATCTACCTGTTCTGTTCCCCACTCTCTCTCTGGTGAATCCTCTCACCTCCACACCTCTGGCCTGTACCCCAGTTCTTGTATGCATGAATAAATAAATCTTAAAAAAAAAAAAAGATAGGGAACAAGGCAAGGATGCCCACCCCACCTCTTCTGTTTAATTCAGTGTTAGAAGTTTTAGCTGGAGCAGTCAGACAACAGGAAATCAAAGGAATCCAGGCTGGAAGAGAAGTGAAGCTGTCGATATTTGCAGATGAGATGCTGTGTATAGAAAGCTCTGAAGACTCCACCAAAAAGCTATTAGAAACAGTAGTTGAATTCAACAAGAGCCAAGTTACAAAATCCATAGCATTTTTATACAGAAATAATGAATGAGGAGAAAAATTAAGAAAATAATTCTATTCAAAATGGCTTCAAAAAATTCAGACACCTCGAAATTGACTAAGGAAGGAAAGACTGATAATGTGGTTGACGAGACAACATGGATTTAGGTCATGACATGAGGCGACGTGTTCATGGGTGATAAGAATCAATGTCATCACTGTCCTGCCTCGAGCAGCATGTAAGTCTAACCTGTTCTTGTGAATGGAATTAGAGCGTGATCCAGCTTCAGTCTTTTACATGTGGCCTCCCAGTTTTCCCAGCGCTACTTGTTAAAGAGCTTCTCCTTTTGTCATTGTGTGGTCGTGTCTCCATTATCATGAGCTAGTAAGTATTGATACATGCGTGGAATAGTTCTAGGACTTCAGTTCTGTTCCATTAGCCCACGTGTGTTTTTATGCCAGTACCATAGCCTTTTTAGTACTGTGGCTTTGTAGTATAGTTTACAGTCGGTTAACATGACACCAGTTTCTCTCATTTTCTCTCAAGATTGCAGAAGCAATCCTGAGATGGTTCCATATGGATTTTAATGTTTTGTTCTCAGTGTCTTTGAATATGATAGTTGATATTTTGAGGGGGATTGTATTAAATATTTATCACTTTCAGTAGAACAGTCATTTTTAAATCAAAGGTCTTCGGGCCTCTTGGATCAGAACATTTGTTTCATTTCCCAGAATGAGATGATTTGCAGCTATTAATTCTTTAAATAAATGTTCTATGCCTTTGTCCTTCTGGGACCTCCATGATATGGATGTTATTTTTCTTTAGATTACCATCAAGGGCTCTTACACAGCTTCCATTTTTTAAATTCACTTTTTTCTCTGTTATTTCCGTGTGTTCTCTATATTATTGTGCTTTCAAGCTTATTAGCACTCTTCACTACTTGCATTTGCCTACCTCTGAGGCCCTCTGTTGTAGTTTTAAATTTGGATTATAGTATTTTTAGAAATATTAGTTTTCCTTCTACTGGTTTCATTTCCTTGATGTTTATTTTGTTTTTGTTTTTCATCATCCATTATTTTATCTTAATTCAATAAACACAACTGCTGCCTTAAACTCCTGCAGGCACATTCCACAGTTCTGCTGAGTTGAGACATCTCTCAGGGATTTTTTGCTGGAGCATTTGTGACGTGTTCTTCTGTCTCTTCATTTTTGGTTCCTGTGGGTTGTAACAGGGACTTTCCTTTTCACAATAAATTGGCTTTATAGCCCTCTTCCAAAAAAGCTGCATCTAATCACAGGTTTGTTGCTCAGCGTCTTTATCCATCTATTATTTCACACACCAATTCCTTTGTGCCTGTTCGGATGGCCAAGGCCCTGGTTCTGGGGCAGTAGGAGACCGAAAGCACCCCCAGTGAGCATCAAGGGGTCAAGCTTCCTTCTGTGCTGTGGGTACCCAAGTTGTGAGATGGGGATCCACAGTGACCCCCCCTGCCTAGGCCAAAATTTCTGGCATCTTCTCAAGACAGCCATCCCCCACCCCCGACTGGTTGAGCACTAGTGTCTCCCTGGGTGAGGATTGTGGTGGAGACTGGGCCACACCTCGGGAATTGTTCTCTTGCTTTACAGCTGTGGTGCCTCACCTGGTGCTGGCTCCTGTTGCTGAGATCAGGTGTTTAAGTTCTGCTGAGTGAGAGCGTTCCATTGTTTCTGTCTAGGCCCTGGAGGGAGGTTAGGCAGCTGTTGTGACTATCACAGCCTCAGGCTGCAAATAGGAGCCTCTTCTATGCAGAGTCACAAGTCACATGCTCTGGCCCTCCTCGAGGTCCTCACTCCAGCTGTTCTAGATCGGGAACCTCAGGCTCAAACCGGAATCACCCCCTGCACCCTCCTCCAATGGCTCTCCAGTCTTGCACCCCTTCTCCAGGGCTGCACCAGGTCCCCAGTCCCTGATGTAGGTATTTGCCCAGAGTTGACCAGTGCACGGGGACTCCACACAGCAGCCCCTCCCTCTCAGGCTGCAGGCCCTGGTGTGGCTACAGACACAGTTCAGTTACCTTTTTCCTAGCCCTTTCCACCGGGCCATCGCTCCTGGTGTCTGTGGTCGTCATCCATTTCTCTCTGAGGTTGGCTGACTTCGCTGGGCTGCAGTTCAGTTGGAAAAAAGAGGAGGCGAGAGCTGTTGTGCAGCCACCCCAGGCCGGGCAGGGTCATTGTTGATTCAGGCAAAGAGAATTTTGGAGCCTTCAGTATCTCTAACCTGCCTTTTTTTTTTTTTTTTTTTTAAATATATAATTTTTTTTTTTTATAGAGGCATGTTTTATTTATTTGTTTGTTTGTTTTGTTTATACAAGCACTGGGTATAGTCAGAAGTGCAGGAGGGTGAGAGAATTCACCAGAGCCAGAGCGGGGAGCAGAGCAGGCAGAAGGACCGAAGGACACTGCTGAGGGGAGCAGCGGGCGGCAGGAGAGGTCTGCGCGCCATGTGGGACCCTCCTCCGGTGGCCGGGGAGCAGCCGGGGATCGAACCGGCGCTGCAGAGGCCGCGGGCAGCTTCGCAACCCAGCGCTCAACCACTGCGCCACCGGGGAGGCCCCTCTCTAACCTGCCTTTAATGCTGACTTGGGACTGGACTCACCGTAGGCAGGCAGGCAGCAACTGAGGACTCTAAACCCTGCAGTTTCCCCTTTGTCCCCCCCGGTCCTCGGCCCACGCGTCTGTACTGACATATGCACAAGCCCATGCTCTCTCCCAGCCCGTGTCCAGAATCAAAGGTGCTCATGCCCACACTCCCAAGTGCTTTTCGCATCAGCACGGTGTCATGTGTGGGTAGTGCAGCTGGGAGGCAAGCAAGGCCGCAGCTGGTGGCTGCAGAGACTGACGGCGGGGGGTGAGAAGAGCCTGGGCCGTTCCATTTTCCTGCACAAGCCCAGTGTCTTCACTCTGTGACGGTCTTGCCAGACTCCTAATTAAAAAAAAAAATAAATTGTCCTAACAAATGGAAGGAATGTGCTCTTCCGCAGGAGGCCTACAGCCGCCCCGGCCACCGCCATGGCCCTAGTGATGCCTGAGAAATTCCAGCACATCTTCCAAGTACTCAACACCAGCATCAGTGGGCAGCGGCAAATAGCCTTTGCCATCACCACAATTAAGGGTGTGGGCATGAAGACATGCTCACGTGGTGCTGAGGAAAGCAGACATCGACCTCACCAAGAGGGCCAGGAGCTGACAGCAGATGAGGTGACACGTGTGATCACCATGATGTAGAATCCCGCCAATACAAGATTCCTGACTAGTTCTTGAACAGACAGAAGGACGTGGGAGATGGGAAATACAGCCAGCTCCTGGCCAATGGTCTGGACGACAAGCTCCGTGAAGACCTGGAGCGGCTGAAGAAGATTCGGGCCCACCGGGGGCTGCACCACTTCTGGGGACTCCGTGTCAGAGGCCAGCACACCAAGACCACAGGGCGCCGTGGCCGCACTGGGTATATCCAGGAAGAGGGAAATGTGCAGGCCTGTCTGTTACTAAATAGTTTTATACACCTAAAAAAAAAAAAAAAAGAAGGAAGGAATGTTACTGTTTTTAGGTGTGAAGGCCCTCACACTCAGGACAGTAAACACCACGGCTGAGCCTTGGAATCACAAGTGCTCTCAGCCACTTTTCAGCCCTTAGTGAGAAACCCACCAAGTTCTTAACTGCACTGCCTGCCATGGGGATCCTCCCCGGAGGCCCCCCTCCTGCTCGTGGCACCACAGTGGCCCTGCGGGGGCCCTGCCCTCTTTGGGCTTCTGACGAAAATCCTTTCCTTCCTCCATGTTTATTGAAAATCAACCGTGCCCATTGATGGTGGGAAGGCCTGGACGCTGAAGCGGGTCTTGCCCTTGCACAGTTGTATCCTGTTTGGGAAAGGACTATCAAAGACAAGCCAACCTAAAATCAACCCTGTGAGCCAGATGACGGAGCCAGCCTAGTGCCTGGGAGGGCTGCTTGGGGTCCCCCCAGTTGCCACGAGGGCTGGTTGCCCTTTCTTGGTGCACAAATAAATACGATGGCAGTTAACCCTGAAGACACCCACAGGGAGGGGTGATCCCGGGTGTCTCGGGCGGGGAGCAGCCCTGAGGCGTGTGGCTGGTCCCTGTGCTGCAGGGAGGGGCCTCTGCAGCACTTGGACACAGACTGTGACGCCCTCCGGTTTCACCCTTCACAGTACTTGATTTCCACAAATACCTACAGCTTCTAGTCTCATCTCAGGTAGAAAAAAAACAACAAAAAACATCTTGTCTGGCTGGCTGATTTTCAGCCATTCAACAACAAAATTACATTTTGTGGTTAGTTTAGTTAATTAACTCAATTTCTGTAACTTCTACAAATAGCCTTTCACCAGTAAAGGGGAAAATGCCTACTTTGAAACCCCAGCCACCTGGGACTTGGGGAAGCTCCTGGGTTGGGTTTGAGGGAATTCCTTAATGAGGCTAAGAACAGGGGTTTCTTATTGTCTCTCTGCAGTCGTGTGCGTTCACCATGGCCCACGTGGTGTGGCGAGGCTCAGTTATACAGACGTTCCTTGGATTCCTGTCACAGCTCTGCAGTGGGAAGTAGTAACGGGAAGTCGCTAAGAGGGCAGAAATGATTGAGAAACTCCTCACACTGGCTTGTTTTTGTGAAGCTTGGTTTATACTTCCACTTTTTCGGTTTTTTTTTTTTTTTCCTCTTTTGTCTTGTATTTGAAAGATTCCTGGGCTGAAAACCTTTGCTTTCTTAGAAGACAGAGTCTGCTTCCTTGTGTATTTGAACTCCTTGTTAGCTTTTTCCCTACCCACTTGGAGTAATGGGTTTCGTTTTAATTTTCAGAAATCACCCCTGGCAGACATTCCTGTGCTGCAGTTTTGCTACGCTTTCGTCCAGAGGTAATGCTGTCAGAACACCTCTCGGTCACTGGTAACTTTGATTAACTGCTGCTGAGCCGTCGACCATGGTTATGGTCACAGTGTCAGTTTCTCCCCAAGGCCTGGCAATGCCCAGCTGAGCTTCCTTTGCCTTCTCCAGAGAGCTGACCAGTTTTGCTGAACACTTTTGTCAGCAAAACTTCAGAGGGGCCTGGTACACTTTAAGAAAGCGCTAGCACGGCATTGATCATGTCAACAAGAAAAAATAAGAACGTGTTCAAGACCGCCTTTAGAAAAGGGAGAAATGGTGCTTTTGGTGCCTTCCTACCTCTTCTGCCAGGTTTGCTGAGTGGAACACCTGTCCCAGGTCAGCACAGGGGGTATTGAGGTGGACTTCCCCAGGAGTTTCTCCAGAGGAAAGGAGGTTGGCTCGGTCTGTTCACATCCTGCAGCACGGACCCCCTACCTTGTCTGCTACAACATTGGGGGGTGGGTGGCTCAGATCTCTCCCCAGGGAAGCTTAGATGCCCAGGAGTCGCATGTGAGAAACTCGTGCAACCAGGGTGGGCTCCTTGGCGAGCCCAGGCCACTTGCCACCGTGATGCTGACTCAGCACATCCTGAAGCTGCAGGGAGGTAGATCCGGGGCCATAAACCCACAAGACCTGGTGGGGTGAAGTTCAGAGCAGTGATGCCGCCTCCACCCACATAATCATTGCAGCTCTTCCTCCAGGAGTTAAGGAGCTGCTGTGTCTTCTGGCAAGACTAGTACCTGTTGTAACACCAGCAAGTTATCAGGGTGGTGTCAATGCCTGTCAGGGAGGTCACTCAGCCCGAGGTCAGCAGTCAGGGACCCTGGGGCTGTGTGGCACAGTACTGTACCTGCCCCTCCCCCTTGCTTTGCAGCAGCCCTCCCAAATCTTCCTCTTGGCCCTGGAGGCCTGACCTGAGAACCCCTGGAGAGCAGCTTCCTGGCTGGTGACCCCTGACCTTACCTTTGCCACCCCATGTGTCCCTGTTACAACTCCAGGGAACAGTGGGTTCATTTAAGCCTTTTATTTATGGACCAGGAAGCCAAGACCTCTGAGCGCAGCAGCAGGGCTCCAGGTTGTTGCCACAGTGCCAAGTCTTAACCTGTCTGTGGTAACTTAGTAAAGAAGAAATAGGTGGGTCGGACATGACAGCTTCCCTTCTGCTCCCAGCCGCCTAGATATAAAAGATGCTGCTGAATAAATGCTTTTGTTTTGACTTGCTCATGGTTGGGTATTTTTTTCTGTGTGGTTTTTCAAACAGGCTCCCAGTGACCACCCTGCAGGCGGACTCCGCCTCTCTGCTGAGCGTGTTGAAGGAGTCAGTGCAGCTGAACCTGGCTCCCCCTGGCCACTTCCTGCTCCTCAGGTAGGGGGGGCCCCACATTCACAAGGTGTTTGTTGTTTTATCTTCTGGAGTCTATTTTATTTCTGCATCATCCTTTTTTTTTTTTAAGTTGATTTATTTATGCACAGAACTGGGATGTGGTCAGAAGTGCGGGGGAGGGGTGAGAGGATTCGCCAGAGACAGACTGGGGCACAGAAAACAGGCAGATTGACTGAAATACACTGTTGGGGGGAGACAGGAGAGCTCTGCTGTGTCCTCTGTGGGTCAGCTCCCTGGTGGGGGATCGAACTCAGGTCATAGAGGTGATGGCGCTGAGACTCAACCCCTAGGGCACGCAGGAGCCCTCTGCAGCATTCTCAGTCTGAAGCTGGTGTCTCTCAACAGCATGCTGAATGACTTTGTAACAAGAACTCCCAACCTGGAAAGCAAGAAGGATCAGAAAGACCTGCAGGTCTGTATGGGGAAGGCTTGTGAGCTTGTGGCTCCAGCAAGGTTTACTTCTCAGGGGATCTCATAGATAATAAGCACTGGCTGGTTGGATCTGAGATTTGTGTTTTGTTCCCAGGTCAAACATCCTCTGTTACTTTGTGTAGAGGCCTCCGTGGCTGGTCTCCCGCGAGGTTCCGTGTGTCAGGCAGGAGCTGTCTGCTGTGCAGTTGGCAAGACGCTTGGCCGCACTCGCCAAGTGTGTGGGGGCTGACTCTCAGCATAACAGGAACGATAAATCTAGATCACAGTTTCGTTTCTTAAACCCTTTCTTTTCCCCGCCTCAGTAAGGGAGGAAATCTGTACTCCTAGGAAGCTTGCAGGATCCTGAAAATTGAAAGTAAAACCCACCCCTCTGAAAAGGGCAGTCTCCTCGGAGTAGAGGAAGCCAGCTCGGGAGTAGGACAAAAGATGTGAGCAAAGCGCTGCCTTTGTAATCACTGCTGGAGGCGCTTTGCCTCCAGGGCTCCTGGTGTGTGAGTTCTACGGCTTTGATGGTCTCACTGCTGATCCTGCGTGAGCTGGCGCTGGTGACAGGTCTCTCCAGCTCCTGAAGCCCCACTGTAATGAGGAAATCCAGGCAGCTCCGTTGGCTTCAACGTGTCAAGAAGAAAGCGCCATTAAGAAGCAGCGACTGCCTGTCCCTGTGCAGCTCATGCCCCAACTAATCTTACCCTGTGGCCACTGGCTGCGGCCGGCAACTCGCTCCGGGCTTCTGACCCGGCCTGGCCACAGGCATCACGTCCACTACTGCAGCCAGTACATGTCTCCTCAGCACCTTTGCTTGGGAGCCCAGCTGGGCCCCTGCTTCTCGCCTGTGCTCCCCGGGTTCCGACTCTTTAGTTCCAGGGCCACCGACACCTCTGCATGTGATGTGGCTGCCCCTGGAAACCTCCACCCCATCATTGCCATCATCACCACGCCCCTCCCGGGGTGCTCCCCCCCCACAAAGCACAGCTGTGTGCCAGCCCTGGAAATGAAATCGGGACTCCTGCCCTCAGGTGTCAAGGGCCCCAGCACTCTCACCTGTGATACCTGACAGTGCTGCTGGGAAGTCCTCAGTGTTTTTGGCTCATTACCACAGGGGCTCCACCAGGTTCCTTCCCAACTGTGCTCATGATGTGGTGGCCCCAGTTCACCCCACCCAGGCAGTTTGTATATTGTTGCTCATTATGCTATTGGAAGGCACATTTCTAGCAAGAACCCAGGGTCCTAAGAAACCCGGAAGTGAGCCCGGGGGTACCATGTGCAGCTGACTACCTGTCTGCTCACCTGTGTCGGCCTGGACAGTAGCCACCGAGCCACGCGTGGCTGCTGAGTACCTGAGATGTGGCTCGCCTGGAAGGAGTGTGCTGTCCTGTAGGACGCACATTGGATCTCAGAGACTTAGTACAAAGAGGAAAGGCCAAAGCTCGCGGATAATTATGTGCATCACACGTTGATAGCCCTATTAGCTTGTTTGTTTTACCTTCCAATGTGGTTCCTCGAAAGCGTCCTCTGTGGTCTGCGGTGGGGTTTTGTGTCGTATTTCTCTGAAACAGCTGCTTCAGACACTACAGGTGCTTTTACTAACTTCCTCCCTCCTCACACTCAGGATGTCACTCAGAAGATCCTGGAAGCTTTGGGAAATATCGCCGGCTCTTCCTTGGAACAAACCAGCTGGCTAAGCAGAAACCTGGAAGTGAAGGCCCAGCCTCAGCTCCCTCTAGAAGGATCTGATGCTGAGGAAGACTTGCATGGTAGGTGCAGGAGGGTCGGCAAGTAGTCCACTGCCAGCTGGTGGGGCTCCAGATCCTCTTGGCGGGACAGCATGGGGAGGCCCCCAGATGAGCCACACCCAGGGGCGTCTCAGTAGAAGGAGGCCATGGAGATGTTGAAAGGCTGGGCTTCCCAGAGAGCCTGTTGGTCCAGGTTGACTTGGCTAGAAAATTAAACAAGTACTTGGCTCCAGCTTCCTCCCAAATCAGAACTTTGATGAGTGATGACTGGGAGGCCTGGCCACCTATCGCCCCCACCCTGAACCCCCAGTTCACAAAAGTTTAAGAAGTGGGGAAAATCAGAAACCTTAAAAGGAATACAAAACCCCAACTCCCCACTCTCCTGAAGGGGCCCTTTCCATATTGCCCTCAGGAGCCCCACACCAGACATCTGTCCTCTATCCGCCCCAGCTCAGCCTGTGCTGAGATGCTGGCAGAACCCGGACAACAGATGGACCCCTGTTGGCCTCTGTCCCAGCTCCCTGCCACCAGATGGAGGCGACTGCGTGCCTCTCCATTCTGGAAAGAACCCCTAAGCCCTGTTCCCCTTCCAGGATAAGAAGCTGGAGCCCCAGACTTTGGGCCTCCATTGGAGTGTCCTGAATCTTTCCATCTGAGATGAGCACCCAGACCCCTTCCCTGGTCTGGCCTTCTGTGCCTTTGCTGGGGAGGAGGAGGCCTGGTTTGATCCGCCTGGGAACCTGGGAGAAGGGTGACCGCAGAGCTGCTGGGTTGCTGGGGCTGCCACCACTCCAGAAAAGAACCATGTCTTTTTTTTTTTTTTAAGATTTATTTTATTTATTTATGCATACAAGAGCTGGGGTATAGGACAGAGGTGTGGGGAGGGGGAGAGGATTCCCCAGAGACAGAGTGGGGAACATAACAGGCAGATCTACTGAAATACACTGTTGAGGGGAGCAGCGGGGGAGACAGGAGAGGTCTGCTGCGCCATGTGGGTATCTCCCTGACCGGGGATTGAACTTGTGCAGCAGTGGCTGTTGCCAGCTTCATAGTTTGCATCTTAACCCCTTGCACCATCAGGGAGGCCCCTGGTAAAGGTTTTGAAGTGAATATAGTTAGAAAACAAAAATGAGTAGGCAGAGAAGAGAGCATGGATATAAATGTCCTGGGTTCATGACTCATAGTGACAAAACTGACATGTCCCCTTTAACTGCATGGACTTTCTTACTACAACATGAGGCGGGGCTGTCTGAGAAGTGTTTCTAGTCCTCAAGGGAGGAAGTAAAAAATGAAATCTGGAGGCTGGGAAAGGTGGGTGGCGCCTGGGGCTTGCAGTGGGGTTACCTGATGGCCGAGGCCCTCTCATGAGTCATGGTCTGAGGCAATAAGATCCGCGTCACGGCGGTGTGGCTGCTGCAGATCGCTGAGCTGCACAAGAGTCTTAAGGCAGATCCTAGGGCTTAGCCAGCATCGCATTTTTATAGATGAGGACTTAGAGACAGAGGAGCCGAAGTGTTCAGCATGTTTGCGAGGTGGGGGCAGACATGGGTGTGGGTAGAGAGAAGGGAAGGCCCCGACGAGCTGAGGGGCAGGTAAGGTAGGGAGACCGAAGGGGTCAGAGACCTGTGCAAGGACAGGGTTCTGGGAGGGAGGGAGCAGAAAAGACAAGACACGCTCAGAGCAGGCTGCAGGACGTGGTGATGTTGGATGCTGGTGAGGTCGAGGGTCTGACGGGGCACTGGGTGGACCAGTGGGCACAGAGAGAAAGCCTGCTGGCGCAGTGGCGTTCAGGGGGTCATGGGCCAGGACGTCCCACAGATCCTCCAGGTGGCGGTGGCACGACTGATGAGGAGGGTGGAAATGGGGACGGAGGCTGTGAGTTTGAGGCCAGTCAGCTGCTCACAATAGCCAGGTCCCCAGTTGCTGCAGCGGACCCCTGCGTTACCTGCGGGAGTCACTGTCATGAGGGGCTCGGGCCCCAGATGCACGGGCTGTTTGGGGCAGTGACCCCCCTCTCCATTGGCAGATGCCGCCGCCACGTCAGCCATGGTGTCTGCGTCTACGCCTTCGGTGTACAGCACGCAGGCCCTCGCCCTCCTGGCGGAGGTAAGTGCACACGCCGGCTGACCCGAAGCTTCCAGAAGGCGGCCCGTCCTGGGGGCAGGGAGCCCGGAAGTCAGTCTTGACCTCTGGCTGCCCGGGGAGGTTTCTTTCAGGGGCTTCCTTGAGCACTGGGTGTCTTATTCTCCGGCTTCAGAAGATTTGATTTCTGACAGTCTCGTTCTTTCAGATCCTGGCCTCGCTCCTGGACATGGTCTACCGAAGTGACGAGAAGGAAAAAGCAGTGCCTTTGATCTCCCGCTTGCTTTATTACGTGTTTCCTTACTTACGCAACCACAGGTAATGTCTTGTCCTCACGCGAATCCAGTGGTTTTCCTCCATCTCTGACCTTGACCCTGGACCCTGTCCCTCCCCTACCCACCAGGGCCTGCAATATTCCCAGCTTCCGGGCTGGCTCTCAGCTGCTGAGCGCCCTGAGCGGCTACGCCTACACCAAACGAGCCTGGAAGAAGGAAGTCCTGGAGTTGTTCTTGGACCCCGGCTTCTTCCGCATGGACACGGCCTGCGCACAGTAAGTGGCGCCGCCCAGGGCAAGTGCGGGCGAGTCTCCAGGTGGAGATGGGGTTGGGTGAGAGCAGAGTTAGCATCCACCGGCCCGCAGGACGTTCTGTCACAAGCTCAGAAAGATTCCCCTCGTTGTCAAAAAGGATGTTGTGTAACTAGCAGAGCACGCTGTTCCTGAGGCGCGCGTGGGGTTCCCTGGCACAGGCCAGCACGCTTGATCTCACAGTCATAAAACATTTGACGGCCATTGAGGTGACAAAGTCCACTGGCGACACCTGGGGTCCTTGTCCCTTCCTGGGCCTCACCATGGCTTCTCTCAGACCGTGCAGCAGGCCAGGCGCCGTGTGGGCAGCGGACAAGCGCGGAGACGCAGGTGCGGGCTGTCCTTGAAGGTCAGCACCGCCACTCGGTGACTGTCCCCTGACCTGACAGGACCTGACTGAAGGCGGGGCAAGAGGTCGCGGCTGGGTCGGCTTTTCGGTCCAGCCTGAGTGTTCATCCCCCACCAGAGCCCTGTCGCTTCTGACCTGTAGTTCCATCGGCTTTTGGGGGGTCCCAGTGCATACCATCGGCTTTTGGGGGGTCGCTTGGGTTGGCTCGGGTATTGGGAGTCCTGCTTGGCACCCCTCCACCGGGGCAGGTACCTTTGCACCTGTCTGTCTCTGGTCTCATTTTCAGCCCCCGAGCATCATGGAACCACCCTCCTGTGCAAATCTGATCCCCTACCCGAGTACACTCACACCCGTCAGTTCTCAGACCAGGGCACTTCGGCATCTGCCTAACATCATCAGTTGTGTTTCTCCTGACACCCCCCACACACTTTGTGTGTGTGTAGTACAGAAGCAAGTTGTATCACTAGCCCCTGAATAGAATCTGGGGGGTCACAGAACCACTGACTCCCTTAATAAGGGCTGAAAATAAGACTCATAAAGCACCACTAGATATGTCAGTGTCTGGTTCTTCCCTCTTTCCAAGTGCTTGTGTTCACTGCACCCCATTTCTCATCAACAGAAGTGTGTACATGTCATCCTGGGGGGGCGTATTCAAGAGAGATCCTGGAGCCAGCCCAGGTCCCTGGCCAGCTGCTGTTTGCTTTACAGTGAGCTGGAACGAGCCCTTGCAAGGAGCCTCCTTCCGAAACTCACCCCAGTATTGAGATATAGATGGGAAGTGTGCAGTTAGCTTTTCCTCCGATAAAAGCTCTATTCGTTTCACCACCTTCAGAATGCAGTTTTTAGTAAATCTTACAGGGGCGTGTTCTTGTTTTGATGCTTTTCATATGATTCTCATCCTTTGTCTATTTAATTAATTTTGCTTTTTTTTTTTAATGCCCAGTTGGAAGGCCATCATTGACCATCTCTTGACCCATGAGAGAACGACATTTAAAGACTTAATGAGTAAGTTCCATGTCACTTGCCCAGAAGTCACACTTCAGGGCCCCAGGCCACATCATCAGCTCTCACTGTGCAGCTTAGGGCCTCTCCAGAGCCACCTCAGCACAGGCTGGAGCGTGGTGTCCAGGACATGCACACCCAAGCAGAAGGCCTCTGCCTAGCTCGTGGCAGAGAAGTGCTGCAGTGACCATAAGCTGCCCGTGATTTATGCCTCATACCCTCTTCTAATGCCCTGCCAGTGAGTCTCGCTAAAGACCTAAGTGTTTTCACAGATAACTGTGCAAATAGCAGCCACATGCCCTAGGAGATCACGCATTTCCTCTGGGGAAGAATTACCCTAGCAGGCGCTTCCAGACATGCGCTCTAATGTAGCTTCTCACTGAATGGACTTGTTGGCTGTGTTTGTTCTAGATATGCCCAGCAGCTCTTTGAAGCTGTTCTCAGGTCTTTCACAAAAAGCCATGCTGCTCAAGCGCCAGGCTTTTGCCGTCTTCAGTGGCGAACTGGACCAGTACCACCTCTACCTGCCCCTGATACAAGGTAGGATGGCCGGCCTGGCCCTCCCCATCCCACATCCCAGGGCCAGCCGCAAGCTGCTCAGTAGGGCAGAGGAGACTTCCTCCAGGCAGGCCACACACTGCCCTCCTTCGCAAAGAGAAGGCGCAGGGGTGAAGGAGGGTGTGGATACAGGCCCCACCCCTGCTGCTTATGCTAGGCTGTTGTCAAATGTCAAAGCAGTTACAAGTTTCTTTTTCTTCTTTATGTAACAAAAATAACCCAAGCTGCACATTTGTTTGATATCTTTAAAATCTTCTTTCTTTAGAACGCCTGACAGACAATCTCAGAGTGGGACAGACATCCATAGGTGCTGCCCAGATGTTTCTTTTTTTCAGAGTTTTGCTGCTAAGAATATCTCCTCAACATCTGACTTCCCTGTGGCCAATAATGGTCTCTGAATTAGTAAGTACAGACATTTCACTCTTAAAAGCAAAGTTGGAGCTTTTCAAGGTACTTCTCCCAGGAATCATCTCCAATGTCATATGAAGCTATTTTTTAAAAAGTTTAATTTATTTATGCATGCAAGAGCTGGGATGTGGGCCAGAGGTGTGGGGGTGCAAGGGGTGAGAGGACTCACCAGAGACAGAGTGGGGAGCAGAGCAGGCGGATCTACTGAAATCCACTGCTGAGGGGAGCAGCGGGCGAAACAGGAGAGGTCTGCGCCATGTGGGTTAGCTCCCTGGCCTGGGATTGAACTCGTGCTGCAATGGCTGGCGATAGCTTGACAGGGCTGAGACTTTAACCCCTGCGCCACAGGGAGACCCATAGGTAGCTAATTTTAACTGCATAATGTCAGAGACAAGTTGATAGCACATGGCCAGCCCTGGTGAAGTGAGAGTACCTTCTCTGTCATCCTGTTTGATCTCTCCACTGCCAGATAGTCCAGCCAATTTGTCCTCTGTGTTATTCTTTGCTATTTTCTCTGGACATAAAAGTCTTAGACAGTCAGCTTCACTTGCTCTTGATGGTAACTGGAATGCGTGTTTTCTTTTAAGATTCAGACATTCAAACGGCTGGAAAAGGAGCTGAAGGACTATCTTGACCCACTGGTGTGAGTAGCCCTTGGTCTGAGCACTAATGTGAAAGCTGGTCAGGGGGTGGTGCCATACCTTGTAGGGGTCAGCTCACGCGGACTAGAATTTCTTGAAGTACTTGTTAGGGGTCTGTTATTTTGTTGTTGTTTTTTGTTTTAAGATTTATTTTAATTATTAATGCATATAAGAACTGGGGTGTAGGCCAGAGGTGCAGGGGGTGAGAGGATTCACCAGAGACAGAGTGGGGAGCAGAACAGGCGGAGCCACTGAAAGACACTGCTGAGGGGAACGGCGGGTAGACAGGAGAGGTCTGCTGCACCATGTGGGTCAGCTCCTTGGCCGGGCATTGAACTCAGACCACAGTGGCTGGCAATAGCTTGATAGCCCTGAGACTTAACCCCTGCGCCTCCAAGGGGACCAAGGGGTCTGTTATTTTGAACATTTCTTACAAGGAAAACCCTTAGGCAAATGGACCAGAGCAAACGTGAATGATTTTATAACAAGAATGTCTTTGCAAATTTACAGAAACAGCAATAAAATCAGCAGGACCAAAGCTACAGTCTCTGATGTGGGGGAGATAGCCCCCAATTTGTACTTGGCAGCTTGCAAGTTCTTGGATACAGCACTTTCCTTTCCACCTGACAAGATGCCCTTGTTTCAGATGTAAGTCAGATGAGACCATATCCTCTTTGAAGTGGGTCCTTTTCTTTCCTAGTGAACACTTTGATTTCTGCTTTCCTGGACAGTGCACGAGACACCTCAGCGTGGAGTCCCCAGTTTCAGATCTCTTGCTCCCTCTGTGGCTTCATGAGTTTGGCTCACCATATGATGGGTGGGTGGGTGGGTGGGTGTGCGTGCGTGCGCGCATGCTCGCACACGCGCATGCTGGGTTTTGCTACTTCATGTTTATAGAATGAGAGCCACCCACTGGTGGTCCTTGCAACATTGGTGTAGGATTTTTTGTCTGTTTTCAGTTAAATGAATAGATGGAGCATGCTGTCTCAGTTCATGTTGCCCCCTAGGCTTGCATTTCCTGTAAGCTTAACACAGCTGCTCACATGTTTAATTTCATGTCTGGCCCCCAGTGCTGCTTCTGTCTGTCCCATCCCCCTAAGGAGAGTAATCATATATAAATGTTACTGGTTAAAAACCAGATTCTCTTTAAATGTATACTGCTAAGTTGAGGAAGCCAGTCTGCAGAGGCCTCATGCCATACAATTTCATGATGTGACATTCTGGAAATGGCAGGCGATGGGGACAGTAAAAAGATCAGTGGCTGTTGAGCATCGGGAGAGGGATGCACAATATGGACTTTTAGGGCAGAGAAACTGCGCTGTGTAATGCTGTAACAAGGGGGACAGGCCATCACATCTTTGTCCAAACCCATAGAACATACACCACCAAGAGTGAACCCCAAGATAAACTGTGGACTTTAGATGATAATAGTGAATCCATGTCAGCCCATCGACTGTAACAAACACACCTCTAGGTGGGGGATGTTGATGGCAGGGGCGTTGGGCATGGAGGGAGGCAGTGGGGGACATAGGGAAAATATGTGCTTTCTGCTCAGCTTTGCTGTAAACTTAGAACTTGTAAAAAAGAAAGCATTTAATTTTAAAAATTGGATTCTAATGTATATGAATCTGCGCAGCAGCATTATTCATAATTCATTATTCATAACCAGCAAAAAGTACAGACACCCCAAATGTCCAACAGCTGCAAATGCGGATCCATAACATGTGGTCTCTCCATGCAGTGAAACACTCAGCAATAAAAAGAAATGATGAAGGGTCTCCCGGTTGGTGCAGCGGTTGAGCGCTGGGTTGCGAAGCTGCCCGCAGCCTCTGCGGCGCCGGTTCAATCCCCGGCTGCTCCCCGGCCACCGGAGGAGGGTCCCACATGGCGCGCAGACCTCTCCTGCCGCCCGCTGCTCCCCTCAGCAGTGTACTTCGGTCCTTCTGCCTGCTCTGCTCCCCGCTCTGGCTCTGGTGAATTCTCTCACCCTCCCGCGCTTCTGACTGTACCCAGTGCATGTATAAAAACCAACCAAACAAACAAACAAATAAATAAATAAATGAACATGCCTCTATAAAAAAATAATAATAATAAAATAAAATAAAATATAATTTAAAAAAAAAAAAAAAAAAGAAATGATGAAGCTGGACGACATTATGTTACGTGAAAGAAGCCAGTCCCAGAGCCATATGTTGTGTGATTCCATTTATCGGAAATGTCCAGAATAAAAATAATCTGTAGAGACAGAAAATAGCTTAGTGTTTGCCTAGATCAGGCGATACAGGGAATTGAGGGGTGATGGCTAAAGGGAAAGGGATTTTCTTTGGGGCATTAAAAATATCCTGAAGTTGAATGTGGTGGTGGTTCACACTTTTCAGTGGGTGCATGAGCAGTATGGGAACGCCAGCTCAGTCAAAACGGTTAAAGGAATCTTTTTTAGAGGGCTCAGGGCCTGCCTGCCTGACCTTGTGTTTCCCTCTAGTTACAGGTGGGCATTTGTTCCAGAAGTAGATGCAGAGGACCCCGTCTTTTCATTGGATCTAGAGGAGAATCACCAGGAATGCGTACCCTACACTGTTAGGATCCTAGAACTTCTCAAATTAAAATATGGGGTAAATGTTTTTCCTTCCTGAAGTTTATTCATAGCAGAGCTGCCTAGGCAGTGAGTTAAGTACTCTAAGCACTGCTTGTTTTTAGTGACGCAATCACTTTCAGAATTTCTCTTCTCTTGAGTGGTAAAACCTGATGATGATCATACATCCTTATTTTCTCATTGACACGTCCAGGGCGGTGCTGTCTGACCGCACCTGCTCAGCGATGCGCTGTTCTGGACAACACAGTCAGACAGAAGGGGTTTCCCCTCCCTAGATGGCGTAGAGGAGGGGCCTGCAGGGGGGAAGCGCAGGGCTCCCCGGGGTGGGCTAGGGGGTAATCACCCAGGAAGATGCTCACAAAGAGCCTGAATTGGAGCCTCTGTCCTTAGTGCTGATGAGGTTCCCAGGAAGAGCCGCCTCTGAGGTTGTGCTGCCGCACGGTCCTCGGTCCTCGCTGGCATCCCTCACCCCTCGCTAAGCCACATCCTTGTGATGGGTTTTTTGGCAGGAAACGAATGACTCAGATGAGCTCACCATGAAGAGCGAATTTCCTCTCCTTCGCCAGCATTCTGTTTCCAGCCTGGAGGAACTGATGCCCTTCTTCAGGACTCTCAACTGCGCATTTAAGACCCAGAGTAAACGGCCTGCAGATTCCCCAGGACCGCCCCCCTCAGAGCTTCCTGTCACGGACAGCCCGAGGGTCTTGAAACTCCTGGAAGAGTGTGTTGAATACGATTTTTTGGAACAGCTGGAAAATTAGCCTTCTTAGCAGAGTTTGTTTAATCCATTCATTGAGACGTCAGTGAAAACCGGGATATATAGGTGACCCCTGAGCGACATGGGCTGACCCAGGAGCGTCCAGGGCGCTGCGGTCAGAGTCCGCCCACCACGGGCACTGGCAGGTGACTCTGGATGCGGAGTTTCCTAGGTGGAGGGAAGACTGTGAGTTGTACTTGGAATTTGACTGCTGGAGCCTGGGGCGGGGTTGGGCCCTGACCCCACATGGTGCAAGGATCCGTTGTTCCATTTCCAAGCAAGAACGGAGCCAGAGCGTGATTTCAAGAAGTCTTTTTCAGTTTTGAAAGTAAAATTCAAATATTTTCTGCTTGGCTGCAAAACACATCGCCCTCAATGCCTTGTAATATATTTGGATCGGATTCTATATTTCTTGTTCAGTTTATGTAAAGAAAATAAAATTAATATATCACCTGGCGGTAGCACAGACTTTGTAACGAAGTAACGTAGGAAGAGAAGGAAGAGCTGCTCTCTCTGTCCTGCCGCTGCACGGCTGCCCCACTGCACTTCTCTCCATTTAAACATCGTGAACATTGTTTTTAAGCTTTCACACATGTCCTTTAAAATGCCTATTTCAGGGCTATATTTTATTTATTTTATTATTAATTTTTTAGTTATTTTACATCATTTTTCTTTTTTAAACAATATTTGCTTCTGCAACCCCTCAGGTATAGTCCCCACAGAGTTTCCTTCCCCAAGGCACCCGTGCACCATCACCTCAGTCCCCTGTGCTCCTCCCTGCCTCCCTCTGATCCCTCTCCCGCCTCCTCCCCTGCAGGATGTCTCTGGTTTACAATTGTCTGTTTTTGCTTTGTTGTGTTTTGTACTGCTATTTTTTTTTTTTGCAGTGATGCCTTATTTGGTTCCCCTATATTCCTGCTATAAGTGAAACCATCCGATAGTTTTCTTTTTCCTTCTGGCTTATTTCACTGAGCATAATTCCTTCCAGTTCCATCCACGTTGCTGTGAATGGCAGGAGTTTATCTTTTTCGATTGCTGAATAATATTCCATTGTGTATATGTGCCACATCTTCTTGATCCAGTCATTATTTTTGGGTATTTGGGTTGTTTCCAGGTTTCACCTATTGTAAATAGTGCCGCAATAAACATAGGGGTACAGGTGTTCTTTGAATCAATGTTTTTGTGTCCTTTGGGTAGATCCCTAGGAGGGGAATTGCCGGGTCGTATGGTAGCTCCATTTTCAGTAGACTGAGGAGCCTCTGGACAGTTTTCTGCAGTGGTTGGGCCAGTTTGCACTCCCACCAGCCATGTAGGAGAGTTTCTTTTTCACCACATGCCCGCCAACATATGTTGTTGCTGGTTTTTTTGATATGTGCCATTCTTATTGGTATAAGGTGGTATCTCGATGTGGTTTTGATTTGCATTTCCCTGATTATGAGGGATGTTGAACATTTTTTCATATGCCTGTTGGCCATTTGCATTTCCTCTTTGGAGAAATGTCTTTTAAGTTCTCCTGCCCATTTCTTGACTGGATTATTTATTTTGTTTTTGTTCAATCTTGTGAGTTCTTTGTATATCTTTGTGATCAGTCCCTTATCAGTGGACTGGAGTTAAATGGAGTGCAAAGATTTTTTCCCAATCAGTGGGACGTCTCTTTGTTTAGGTTAATGTCTCTTTTGCTGTATAGAAGCTTTCAGTTTGATGTAATCCCAGGTGTTTATCTTTTCCTTGACTATCTTTGCTTTGGGTGATGAGTCTTTAAAGATGTTACTGCGATGTATGTCTTGTAGTGTTTTACCTATATTTTCTTCTAAATTTTTATGGTTTCAGGTCTGATGTCCAGTTCTCTTATCCATTTTGAATTGATTTTTGTGCATGGTGAGAGGGAGTGGTCTAGTTTCATTTTTTTGCATGTGGTGGTCCAGTTTTCCCAGCACCATTTATTGAACAAACTGTCCGTGTTCCATTGCATGTTCTTTGCTCCTTTGTCAAAGATCAGTTGTCTATATAAGTGTGGTTTTATTTCTGGGCTCTCTATTTGGTTCCATTGGTCTGTGAGTCTGTTTTTGTTCCAATACTAAAATGTTTTAATTATTATGGCTTTGTAGTATAGCTTGAAGTTTGGAAGTGTGATACCTCCTTTCTCCTTTGTTTTCATCAGTAGAGCTTTGGCTATTCATGTTTTTTTTTGTGGTTCCATATGAATTTCATCAGTATTTGTTCTATTTCTTTGAAGAATGTCATTGAGATTTTTGTTAGAATAGCGTTGAATCTGTATATTGCTTTTGGTAGGATGAACATTTTTTTTTTTTTTTTTTTTTATTTTTTTTTTTTTATAGAGGCATGTTTTTTTCTTTCTTTCTTTATTTGTTTGTTTGTTTATACATGCACTGGGTACAGTCAGAAGCGCGGGAGGGTGAGAGAATTCACCAGAGCCAGAGCGGGGAGCAGAGCAGGCAGAAGGACCGAAGTACACTGCTGAGGGGAGCAGCGGGCGGCAGGAGAGGTCTGCGCGCCATGCGGGACCCTCCTCGGGTGGCCGGGAAGCAGCCGGGGATGGAACCGGCGCCGCAGAGGCCGCGGGCAGCTTCGCAACCCAGCGCTCAACCGCTGCGCCACCGGGGAGGCCCGAGGATGAACATTTTAATAATGTTAATTCTTCCAATCCATGGGCAGGGGATGTCTTTCCATTTCTTTGTGTCTTCTATTTCTATTAACAGTGTTTTATAATTTTCTTTGTATACGTCTTTCACCTCTTTGTTGGGTTTATTCCCAAGTATTTGATTTTTTTTTTCAATTATAAAAGGGATGGTTTTTTTGATTTCTTCTTCAGATTGATTGTGTATAGGAAGGCTACTGATTTTTGTGTGTTGGTTTTGTATCCTGCTACTTTACTGAACTGGTTGATTATTTTGAGTAGTTTTTCGGGTTCTCTACGTATATTATATCGTCTGCAAATAGTGATAGTTTTACTTCTTCTTTCCCTATTTGGATTCCTTGTATGTCTTTCTCTTGTCTTATTGCCCTGGCCAGGACCTCCAGTATCATACTGAAGAGCAGTGGTGAGAGAGGACATCCTTGTCTTGTTCCTGATCTTAAAGGAAAGGCCTTCAGCTTTTCACCATTGAAAATAATATTGGCAGGCCTCTCTGGTGGTGCAAGGGGTTAAGACGCAACCTATGAAGCTATTCACAGCCACTGCAGCACAAGTTCTATCCCCGGCTGGCCAGCACGCAACCTACACGGTGCAGCAGACCTCTCCTGACTCGCATGCTGCTCCCCTCAGCAGTGCATTTCAGTCAGTCTGCCTGTTCTGTTCCCCACTCTTGTCTCTGGTGAATCCTTTCACTCCCCACACTTCTGGCCTTGTATGCATAAATAAATAAATCTTTAAAAAAGAAAAAAGAAAATAATATTGACAGTGGGTTTGTCATATATGGCTTTTATCGTGTTAAGGTATGTTCCTTCTATCCTGAGAATTTCAAGGGCTTTCATCATAAATGGATGTTGGACTTTGTCAAATGCTTTCTCAGCATCTATTGATATGACCATATGGTTTTTATTTTTCTTTTTGTTGATGTGTTGGATTAATTTTCGTATGTTAAACCATCCTTGTGCCCCTGGGATGAATCCCACTTGATCGTGGTATAGTATCCCTTTGATGCATTGTTGGATTCTATTGGCAAGGATTTTGTTGAGGATTTTTGCATCAGTGTTCATTAGGGAGATTAGCCTGTAATTTTCTTTTTTTGTGCTGTCTTTGTTTGGTTTTGGTATTAGTGTAATGTTGGCTTTGTAGAACGTTATTTGGTAGTATTCCTTCTTTTTCAATTTTTTGAAAGAGTTTGTGTAGGATAGGCACTAATTCTCTGCTGAGTGTTTGGTAGAATTCACTTGTGAAGCCATCTGGACCTGGGCTTTTGTTTTTGGGGAGTGCTTTGATGACTGCCTCAATTTCGCTGCTTTTAATTGGTCTGTTTAGTTGTTCTATTTCTTCTTTGTCCAGCTTTGGATGATTATATTGTTCTAGGAATTTGTCCATCTCTTCTAGGTTGTTGAATTTGTTTGCATATAAGTGTTCATAGTAATCTCTGATTATTCTTTTGATTTCTACTGAGTCTCAGGGCTGTATTTTAAAACTAAAATATATTTTTTGAAAATAATAATGGCCCTGGGCATCCCTGGTGGCGCAGCTGTTAAAGACACAGACAGCACTGTCAAGCTATCCACAGCTTCTGCAGCTCAAGTTCAATCCCTGGCCAGAGAGCTGACCCACATGGCACAGCAGACCTCTCCTGTCTCCTGCTGCTCCCCTCAGCCACCTGTTCTGCTCCGCATTCTGTCTCAGGTGAATCCTCTCACTGCTCCCCCACCTCTGGCCTGTACCCCAGTTCTTTTATGCATAAATAAATCTTTTTTTTAAAAAAAGGAAAAAAATAAGAGCCCTGACCATTGAGCTCAGCAGGGCCAACGCTGGGCACTGTCTCGGCACAACCCACCCCCTCCTCTGTGCCACGGAAATCGTGTGTTTGCAACGGTGATCTGCCTGCCGACAGCTGTGGCCTTAGCCGTGCACCAGCTGGAACTTTCCATTTCATACCCACCAGTCACGTAGCCCATGGCCTCTTAATGCCTGGAGCTGCTGGCAGGAAATTCCCTTTCTGAATTCTTCCCGTTGATTCTGTCATGAGGGGTGAGGGCGGGTTCTTTACCACTTGCAGATTCACTGTTCATTTAGACAGCCTGCCCCAGACGTGGGCTAGCTTGGTCTGGTTCTTCCCTCTTTCCGAGCCTCCTCGCTTGGGTTGGCTCGGGTATTGGGAGTCCTGCTTGGCACCCCTCCACTGGGGCAGGTACCTTTGCACCTGTCTGTCTCTGGTCTCATTTTCAGCCCCCGAGCATCATGGAACCACCCTCCTGTGCAAATCTGATCCCCTACCCGAGTACACTCACACCCGTCAGTTCTCAGACCAGGGCACTTCGGCATCTGCCTAACATCCTCAGTTGTGTTTCTCCTGACACCCCCCCACACACTTTGTGTGTGTGTAGTACAGAAGCAAGTTGTATCACTAGCCCCTGAATAGAATCTGGGGGGTCACAGAACCACCGACTCCCTTAATAAGGGCTGAAAATAAGACTCATAAAGCACCACTAGGTATGTCGGTATGTGTACAAGTACACGTTAAAAATTACATGGAAGGGCCTCCCCTGGTGGAGCAGCTGTTGAGCACTGGGCTGCGAGGCTGCCCGCAACCTCTGTAGCGCCGGTTCATTCCCCGGCCGCCGGCGAGGGTTACCCCCCCACAACACACACACACAAAAATTACATGGAAGTGATGCGTTTGCAAGGGGATGACTTTGACAACGTGCAGGTTTGGTCACTAAAATTTTAAATATTGAAGGTACAGTTATAAATCCTGTTATGACCGCTTACACTGTGAGTTACACATAATTCAGGTGGTGATGGTACCGTAATGTCAGGTTTTCAGGCCTGGTCTCCCAGCCAGGAACAGATCCCAGGCTGCAGGGGCAGCGCTGAGCCCCGGCCACAAGACCGCCACGGCCTGGTATGTCACGAGGCTGCGGCAGGAACTTCGCTGACA